GATATAGCTCCAGTGGCAGCAGGCCTCTGGCTCACATGCAGGAAGGTCCTGGGTTCAATTTCCCTGCATCTCCTTGTGATAGGGCTCAGAGGAGCCTCTTTTCTGGAAATCCCAGAGAGCCACTGCAATCCAGTGTTTGACAAACTGAGCTGGAGGATCAGTGGCTGTGATTTGGTAAAAGGCACTTCTATGTCAGGTCCCATCTTTTCCACTGATTTTGGTGCCACAACTCTTGGGCCGAGCTTATTCAGATACACCAGAAACAAACAGCCAAAGGAATATTTTCTTGCTTATGGATGCTACCCACTTAAAATAATAGAAGACGGGAAATCTCATATTTATGGGTTTCACCATACGTAAAATCATTTTTGCATTTTGGAAGGCTAGCAGGTCAGGAGTTCTAAAGCCAGTTCTTCTTCCCAGGATTGCTTGCTTGCTTGAGTCATCAAATTTATTTTAATTTATATCCCACCCTTCCTCCCAAAGGAAGCCCAGGGGTGGCTTCCCAGGCACCCTCTACTAAGACTGTCGTGAAAGCTGTCACTCAGTGAGAGAGGGGCTTTGCATGCCACAGGTCCCAGGTCTTAACCTTGCGTTTCTCTAGATAGGGCTGGAAACGACTGTATTATGCCTGAAACCTTGGGAAACCGCTGACCGTCACTGTGAACAATAGTAAGCTAGCTGCATATAACTTGGCATATTGCCCTTGCACCTGTCAAATACTGGTGAGCTAGCAGGCAACCAGTGTTGCTTCAGGAGGAGGCAGGGACCACAGACAGCTCCTGCTGGTTCCTGCATACCCAAGAGGCAGGGATGCGACACAAGGCACTAAGAGAAGCCAGCTTGGAACATTGTCCCATCAATGGTTTGTTGTTTGTTTAGTCGTTTAGTTGTGTCCGACTCTTCGTGACCCCATGGACCAGAGCACGCCGGCAACTCTTGTCCTCCACACCTCCCGCAGTTTGGTCAAACTCTGCTGGTCCTCTCGTCTGTCGCCCCTTCTCCTTGTGCCCTCCATCTTTCCACATATGTCTTTCCAGGATCTCTTCTCTTCTCATGAGGTGGCCCAAAGTATGGAGCCCTCAGCTTCACGATCTGTTCCTTCCATGAGCACTCAGGGCTGATTTCCTTAAGAATGGAGGTTTGACTCTCTTGCAGTCCATGGACTCTCAAGAGTCTTCCAGCACCATTAATTACATCAATTGTTTAGTCTGGAGCAAACAATAGCTTAAGCCAGCTTCACCATCATTGGGTGGCGGTCTCAAAGCTCCATCCCCTCCAAGGAAACTTGGTTGGGTTTAGGGGCTTCAGCCGTATCCATCCAGATCTCTCCTGTGGCCTGGTGGCCTGTATTGTCCCACCCAAGTGGATGGAGCCACTTTTCTGACATTGGCATCACTGCAGCCTGCCTGGATGCGGCTGGATGGCGGTGGCCGTAGGCTGGGGCTGTGGCAGTCGCACCAGTGAAGTGGTCAGATTGGCTCCACCGGATTGCGCCCCAGACTTGCCACCTCCCTGCCTTTTGCCCCAGCCCCAGGGGTGGAGAAGATAGATGGGGAAACCACAGTGAACATTGATAGGACACTGCAGGGCGACTAATTCTCCCTTGAGGTCCCTTTTTTAAAATTTTTACCAAGTTCTGTTATTCTGTAGACAGTTACATTTTCTCTTGGAGCATCTTGCTCTTATTTCTCAGTCACATGTCCCCCCGCAAACACGCCCTCCATTCAAGGCCGGAAGGGTGCACATGTGTTTGGAAGCTTACACTGCGTGCAAGACGAGTCTTCTTGCAGTAGCGTTGGGTTTCTGGAACTTCCAAATGCCTTGCAGTAGTAAGCAGCCATTTGTCGCTTGGGCAGTTTTGTGGTGAGAAGCAGCTCCTTGGAACAATGTTCCCCGATTGACCCGGAGTTTCCCGTCCCTCACTACTGCTCTCCTGTTTTTTTTTTTTTTTTTTTTTTTTTTTTTTTTTTTTTTTTTTTTTTTTTTTTTTTTTTCCTTTTTCCCCTTTTTTTTTTTCCCCCCCCCCCCCCCCCCCCTTTTTTTTTTTTTTTTTTTTTTTTTTCTTTTTTTTTTTCTAGGAAGAATCAGATTGCAGTGGGGTTAAAGCAGAGAGGCAGCCCACTCTGGGGGGTTGGCCAATTGGCACACATCGCTCTGTCCTCTACAGGACTGGCCAGGGTCACTTAGGGAGGAAGAGCCATTTGGGTCTTCTAACTGCCCCAAGCAGTACCATTTGTTCATCTACCTCACTTTGTCTAATGCATGGAGGGGAAAACTCAGACCAGGGCCAAATTTGGCCTCCAGGACTTCCTACCTGTGTCCTTGAGACTCTCTCTGGGTGACAGCCCCTCCCAAACCACACCCTCTCACTCCAGACCATGCCCCTCACTGTCCTGGCTTGCAACTTTCCTCGGTATTTTTGCCTGGCTTGTGATGTGCCCTTGAACACTGATCATTTCCCCCTTGGTTTGCCAGGAAGGAGGACAGAATATGAGGGTGGTGTCTAGAAAACAAAGCCTTTGTTACGGAGATTAAAATTTGCATTCATTGTTTCTGCCAAGTTTTGCCTTGCTCCTCAACCACCAGGCATCAACTTGTTGGTGCAGTCTCAGGCTGAAAAGTTTCCCCCACCCCGGCTAATAGTAGGGCTGGCCCTGGAGGCAGTTAATGCTGGACCACCTTGTTACCACTCGAGGCGAGGCGAGGGGTGTCCTTCCGCTTGGCAAAAGCAGGTGAGCTTGACTACGGTTGCCAGCTCGAAGCATGTTCTGGGGGTATACTGGCACATCAATCCAGATCTTCTGAGGTGGAATCTGAAGGACCAAAATCAAGAATGGGGAAGAGAAGGGGAAACGATTTTAGAAGGGGGATTCAAAGCACGTCCACATTGGCAAACGTTTGCCCTGACACACACACCAATCATTCCTCCTTGCTCACACTTACTCGGAGGGTCACAGTAGCACTCTTTTGGCGTTAGAGGCGATGGCTTCATTGAAGGCCTCACAGATTCAGAGGGGACAATCCGTTGTCTACGGCGTGCTGTGTATGTTGATGTTAGACACCGTGATCATCCCGCATTGAGCTGCCTGTTAGGCAAATAGCAATCTTCATTTTGAGAAGGGAGAAGAGGCAGATCTAACAACAACTGCGTTTCAAAATGGCTGTTCCCTGATTTCCAAGCACTCTGAAAGTCCACAGGTCCCTCGTAACTTGGTTTGGTCTACCACTTGACCTGGCAGCAGGGCTTCCAGTAGAGAGGAAACTCAAACCCAACCAAGGACTGGAACATGGGACTTTCTGCAGGGAAAGGCAGATGCTCTACCACTGATCGTAAACCTTCCTTCAATGCTCATACAATGTTCTTACTTTCCCCAACAATCTGGACAGTACAGTCTCTCAGAGGCCCCTTACTTTCCCCACGCTCATGGCCCCTAAACTCATGCTTCAGGCCTTCCCTGGTCATTGATTCCGAACAGCAGATAAGTTCTTGCATGGAGCAATGGAATCCAGGTATTCGGAAGACCAGCAGTGGAAGTGGTGGACCCCAACCCAGCTCTGATGGCTGGAGCCGCTCCACCAGGAAACCCATTGGCTAGGAGGCCTGGGAAAGAGAGTACTCTCCATAATTGGGACACCCTTAGGGAGAGTGTCCCAAAGGACTTGCTGCCATAATGTTACCGCCTCACCTCATTTCCTTCGTTGCATGCCCGCCACATAACCCCTCGTGATTCAAAAATCTCCTGTTTCTGGAAAGTTGGCAGGCGACATCTTCTAAAAAATGTAGGGGAAGGGAGAATCTGGTCTAGTTTTGGTTTTCTCCATTCTTCATTTTTCCCAATCTCAAGTTCAGTTCTTCACCTTTCCACATACCACTTTCTGCACCCAAAAAAACCCAAAAACAAATAAATGACAAGTCTCCATGAAAACTTCAGCAGCATTTTTAGTGCAATCTCTCTCAATATGCATATACAAGTCGGTACCTTTGGTTAGTAACTTTCATTCGTTCCGGAGGTCCATTCTTAACCTGAAACTGTTCTTAACCTGAAGCACCACTTTAGCTAATGGGAGCTCCCGCTGCTGCCGCGGCCGCCGGAGCACAATTTCTGTTCTCATCCTGAAGCAAAGTTCTTAACCCGAGGTAATATTTCTGGGTTAGCGGAGTCTGTAACCTGAAGCGTATGTAACCTGAAACGTATGTAACCCGAGGTACCACTGTATATGCATATTGAGAGAGATTTGCACTAAAATGCTGCTGAGTTTCCATGAGGACTTGTCTTTATTTGTTTTTGGGTTTTTTTGGGTGCAAAGTGGTATGTGGAAAGGTGAAGAACTGAACTTGAGATTGGGAAAATGAGAATGGAGAAAAACCAAAACTGACAGATTCTCCCTTCCCTACTTTTAGATGTCGCCTGCCAACTTTTTCCAGACAAACAGGAGATTTTTGAATCCAGGGGGTTATGTGGGGGCACAAAATGGAGGTGAGGCGGTACATTATGGCAGCAGTCCTTTGGGACACTCTCTCTAAGGGTGTCCCAATTTGGAGAGTACTCTCTTTCCAGGGCCTCCTAGCCAATGGGTTCCTGGTGGACGGGCTCCAGCCCATCAGAGCCTGGGTTGGGGTCCACCACTTCCACTGCTGGTCTTCCGAATCCAGTGGATTCCATTGCCTCCATGTCAAGACTTATCTGCTGGTTCGGATCATGACAGGGAGGGCCTGAAGCATGAGTTTAGGGGCCATGAGCGTGGGAAAGTAAGGGCCTCTGAGAAGACTGTACTGTCCCAGATTGTGGGGGAAGTAAGAACATTGTATGAGCATTGAGGAAGGTTGTAGATCAGTGGTAGAGCATCTGCCTTTCCTGCAGAAAGTCCCAGGTTCAGTCTTTGGTTGGGTTTGGAGTTTCCTCTTCTCTGAAGCCCTGCTGCCAGTCAGTGTAGACAATACCAAGTTAGAGGGACCTGTGGACTTTCAGAGTGCTGGGAAATCAGGGAAACAGCCATTTTGAAACCAGTTGTTTAGATCTGCCTCTTCTCCCTTCTCAAAATGAGAATTGCTATCTTCCTACAGGCAGCTCATGGCGGGATGATCACGGTGTCTAACATCACATACACAGCACGCCGTGAGGACAACGGATTGTCTCTGATCTGTGAGGCCTTCAATGAAGCCATCCTCTACGCCAAGAGTGCTACTGTGACCCTCCGAGTACAGTGTGAGCAGGAGGGATGATTGTGTGTGTGTCAGGGCAACGGTTGCCATGTGTGACGTGCTTTGAATCCCCCCTTCTAATATCTGTTTCCTCCTTCTCTTCCCATTCTTGTTTTTGTCCTTCAGATCCACCTCAGAAGATCTGGATTGATGTGCCACCCCCAGAAACATGCTTTCGAGCTGGCACCGTAGTCAAGCTCACCTGCTTTGCCAGCGGCGGACACCCTCTGCCTCGCCTCGAGTGGTACAAGGTGGTCCAGCATTACTGCCTCCAGGGCCAGCCCTACTATTAGGCCGGGGTGGGAAACTTTTTCAGCCTGAGAGCTGCACCACAAGTTGATGCTGGTGGTTGAGGAGCAGAGGCAAAACTTGGCAGAACAATGAATGCAAATTTATCTCCGTACAACAGGCTTGTTTCTAGACACCCACCCTCATATTCTGTCCTCCTTCCTGGCAACCAAGGGGGATGATCAGTGTTCAAGGGCACATCACAGCCAGGCAAAAATACCCGAGGAAGTTGCAAAGCCAGGACAGTGAGGGGCATGGTCTGGAGTGAGAGGGTGTGGTTGGGGAGGGGCTGTCACCCAGAGAGAGTCTCAAGGACACAGGTAGGAAGGTCTGGAGGCCAAATTTGGCCCCTGGGTCTGAGTTTCCCCTCCATTGCATTAGACAAAGTGAGGTAGATGACAAATGGTAGCTGCTTGGGGCAGTAGAAGTGACCCCATGGCTCTTCCTCCTAAGGACCCCTGGCCAGTCCTGTTAGAGGACAGAGCGATGTGTGCCCAATTGGCCAATCCCCCCAGAGTGGCTGCCTCTCTGCTTACCCCCACTGCAATCTGGATTCTTCCTACAGGAGAGCAAAGTAGTGAGGGACGGGACAACTCCGGGGTCATCGGGGAACATTGTGTCCAAGGAGCTGCTCCTCACCACAACTGCCAGCGACAACATGGCTGCTTACTACTGCAAGGCATTTGGAAGTTCCAGAACCCCAGCACTCACTGCAGAGACTCGTCTGCACGTCCAGTGTAAGCTTCAAAACACATGTGCACCCTTCCGGCCTTGAATGGAGGGCGTGTTTGCGGGGGGACATGTGACTGAGAAATAAGAGCAAGATGCTCAAGAGAAATGTAACTGTCTACAGAATCACAGAACTGTAAAATTTTAATGGACCTCAAGGGAGAATTAGTCGAACCCCCTGCAGTGTCTATCAATGTTCACGTGGTTCCCCATCTATCTTCTCCACCCTGGGGCTGGGGCAAGGCAGGGTAGTGGCAAGTCTGGGGCTGCACCGGTGGAGCCAATCTGACCACTTCACTGGTGCGACTGCACAGCCCCAGCCTCACGGCCACCTGCCCCAGCCGCATCCAGGCAGGCTGCAGTGATGCCAATGTCAGAAAAGTGGCTCCATCCACTTGGGTGGGACAATACCAGGCCCACCAGGCAGCAGGAGAGATCTGATGGATACGGCTGAGCCCCTTTAAACCCAACCAGTTTCCTTGGAGGGGATGGAGCTTGAGACCGCCACCCAATGATGGTGAAGCTGCTTAAGCTAATTGTTTGCTCCAGACTAAACCATTGATGTAATTATGGTGCTGGAGAAGACTCTTGAGAGTCCCATGGACTGCAAGAAGATCAAACACATCCATTCTTAAGGAAATCAGCCCTGAGTGCTCACTGGAAGGACAGATCGTGAAGCTGAGGCTCCAGTACTTTGGCCACCTCATGAGAAGAGAAGACTCCCTGGAGAAGACACTGATGCTGGGAAAGATGGAGGGCACAAGGAGAAGGGGGCGACAGAGGACGAGATGGTTGGATAGTGTTTTCGAGGTTACCAGCATGAGTTTGACCAAACTGCGGGAGGTAGTGGAGGACAGAGGTGCCTGGCGTGCTCTGGTCCATGGGGTCACGAAGAGTCGGACACGACTAAACGACTAAACAACAACAAACCATTGATGGGACAATGTTCCAAGCTGGCTGCTCTTAGGTGCCTTGTGTCCATCCTGCCTCTGTATGCAGAACCACAGTGAGCTGTCTGTGGTCCTGCCCTCCTCTGAAGCAACCTGGGTGCCTGCTGAGCTTCACCAGTATATTGAGCAGGGTGCAAGGGCAATATGCCAAGTTATAGCAGCTAGCTTACTATTGTCGACAGTGACGGTCAGCGGTTTCCCAAGGTTTCAGGCATAATAAGTCTGTTTCCAGCCCTATCTAGAGAAACCAAGGGTTAAACCTGGGACCTGTTGCATGCAAAGCCCCTCTCTCACTGAGTGGCAGCTTTCACGCACAGTCTAGTAGAGGGTGCCTGGGAAGCCACCCTGGGCTCCTTTGGGAGGAAGGGTGGGATATAAATAAAATAAAATTGATGACTCAAGCAAGCAAGCATCCTGGGAAGAAGACTGGGCTTTAGAACTCCTGACCTGCTAGCTTTCCAAATGCAAATGATTTACGATATGGGTGAAACCATAAATATGAGATTTCCCTCTTCTATTATTTTAAAGTGGTAGCATCCATAAGCAAGAAATATTCTTTTTGGCTTGTTTGTTTCTGGTGTATTGATAAGCTCGGCCCCAAGAGTTGTGGCACCACAAGTGGAAAGATGGGACCTGAACATAGGAAGCTGCCTTTTACCAAATCACGCCACTGATCCATCCAGCTCAGTATTGTCAACACTGGATTGCAGTGGCTCTCTGGGATTTCCAGAAAAGAGGCTCTCTGAGCCCTATCAGGAGATGCCAGGGATTGAACCCAGGACCTTCTGCATGTGAGCCAGAGGCTCTGCCACTGAGCTATATCTCCTATCTGTACTTCAATGCAGAATGCCTTAATACAGACCTTATACAGCTTTCCCCAATCCACACCCCCTGCCAATTTCTTCTGAATCACAATTCCCATCATGGTCACTGTGGCCAGGGCTTATGGGAGTTGTAGTTTAAGGCATCTGGAGGGCAGCAGGTTGGGGAAGGTTGGCATGGAGGGTAGAGCTAGGAGGTGGCGCCGAAGCCTGAGTCTTGACAGCCAGCCACTTTCTTTCCACAGTCCCGCCCCTAAGCGCAAAAATTACGGTGACAGTCAAGGAGATCAGGCCTGGCCAGTTGGTGACACTTCACTGCAAATCGGGCAGCAGCAATCCTCCCGCCAGCCTCACCTGGCTCAAAGATGGGAAAAGGTAAGAGGATGTCTGACTTCCCCAATGCCCATCCTACAACAGCTTCACCTGCAGGTCTTGCTACATCTTCAAAGGCCCTTGTCCATTTCTGCCAGGGCTAGTCCAATACATTTTGGAACCTTGGGCAGGATTGTGTCCTTTGACCTCTCACTCTTTGCTCCTCCAGTTTGCTGGAACATCTTAGGGCTCAGTCATGGACAAAGGTGATGTGGACACCCAAGTCTCTCCAGCTTGTTTTCCTGTGTGTATTATTATTTCCACTTATAGACCTGTTATTATCCAAAGTTCTCCAAGTGGTTTACAGTAGGTCAGTGTTCTTCAGCCTTGGATCTCTAGATGCTGTTGGGTGACAGATCCCTTCATCCTTAGCTATTGGCTAAGCTGGCTATGGATGATGGGAGCTGCAGTCTAACAGCACCAAGGGACTCAGAGTTGAAAAACACTGTAATAGGTTACATATGAATACAAGCATTGTAAGTAAGGCAGAGGGCCTTCTCGGTAGTGGTGCCGATCCTGTGGAATGCCTCCCATCAGATGTCAAGGAAATAAACAACTATCTGACTTTTAGAAGACATCTGAAGGCAGCCCAGTTTAGGGAACTTTTTAATATCTGATGTTTTATTGTATTTTAAATATTTGTTGGAAGCCGCCCAGAGTGGCTGGGAAAATCCAGCGAGATGGGCGGGGTATAAATAATAAATTATTATAGTATTATTATTATATAAGTACTATAAAAACCATGCTTAGGAGTCACAAGTGGGCAGAGTTGCTGTTGTCCTCAGGTCCTTCTTGGAGGCTTTCCGTAGGCATATTTTTGGCTATTGGGAGAACAAAATTCTGGACTAGATGTGCCAATGTCCTGATCCAGCAGAGCTTTTTCTTGTTCTTATAAGTTCTTGATAAGTTATTGTTAGTAGTGTTTCTTCTTCAGGTTGAAGGCAACTAACCCAGAGCAGAAGAAAGCAGAATTTGGGGGGTTTTCCACTTCAGGAAATGTGACTCTGGTGGTGTCATCTGCAGATCATGGGATGAGAGTAGAATGCCATGCATACAGCTCTGTCCTCTCTGAAGGTGTGAATACCTTCTACCAGCTCACTGTCCTATGTAAGTATGAAGTAGGGATGGGAGGGAAGTTCAGTTCAGTTTTACATTTGAAGGTGAACCTACCTAAAATTAATGCAAAGCTACCTAAGCTACACTTTCACACAATGTGTGAAAAGCAGCCGCCCTTCAAGATGCATGCTTCTCTGAATTTCGCACTGCAGTTCTCCAACCATTTTTGTAATGTCCATAGGCTAGGGTAAAATGTGCATAGAAATGCATGAAAATAATAAAGAAAGATGCATTGCATTTGGGAAAACAGCTTGCAAATAACCTAGCATAAAAGGCAAAACTGCATAAAATATGTATATGGAGAAATGTAAAATAAAATGCCGTTGGATTTTCACAAGGATTTCAAAAACCATTTTGCAAACTGACGGAGAAATGAGGAAAGCAAACTGGAAGGAACAACCAGGAGGCGGGAGCTGTCACTCATGTGTGTCTTCCATGACCACATTGCAGTTCATTGGGCTGAAATCATGGTTGATTTGTTTACAGTTTTAGCATGTGTTGTCCCCAGGGCAGATGTAAGGCAACGTTTACCCAGAGGGTTTCTGTGGAAGCTCTTTGAAATGTAAGCCTGGCTTTTTGAAATGTACCAGCAGCAACCTGCCATATGCTCATATTAGACACCTTTGGGCTTCAAGAAGCAGGAGGGAAAGTCACTGGGAAAGTTATCTGAGAATCTCTTCTTCCTCTGCTATTTGCACAGTTCCCCCAGAGTTCTCCTCTGAGCAACCTCTAGTAGTGCAGGCTGTGGAGCACGGAGCTGTCCAGCTGCCCTTGCTGGTGTCGGCCAGCCCTCCAGACATCACCTATCGCTGGACCTTCCTTGGTGAGGTACTCTTGACAGGTGGGTCCAGCATCATTCTTGGAGTGAAGTCCCAAGCTGTTGCTGCTATTTCGTCACCAGTGTCCCCGTCTTTCTGCAGACAAATGAGACTGGTCCTGGCTACAAGGAGCTTCCAATCAAAGGGCCAAATTAGATGGGGCATTAAACATATTTGCATTTAATTTGCACTAAAAAAAATGCAAATAGCACCCACACAGTGAGTTATGATAATCACCTGGCTTGCAGCAAGTCAGGAGGAACTTTACCATTTCCTCTCTTACTGCCGTTCTAAGGAAAGTCCTCCTTTTGAAGCTATTTGCACTGGAAGGAAAGGACATTTGTTGACTAATACAGGGGTAGGGAACCTGTAGCTCACACATTGTTGCTGCACTACACTTTGCATTATCCCTGACTATGGGCCATGCTAGCTGGGAGGGAAGGGAGTTAGAGTTGATCAAATATCTGGATGGCCACAGGTTCTCCATCCTGAGTTAATATGCCTCCTGGAATCCTTAGCGGGCTTCATCCTTCTGGTGGAAAAAATGCCTTGCAGCGGAAGGGTAAATTGTGCAATGACAGCTGGGTGGGCCAGTGCCAGGAGCAATAAATCACATGGCATCAGTGAACTTAACTCTTTATTCAAGGAAACAAGATCTGCCTAGTGAGCACAGCAAGTCATCCCAGTAGGTCTTGCCCCTATGAGGCAGTTGTGGAGATTGAAGGTCCCTGCCTCTGCACAGTTACCTAAGTCTCCTCCTCCCCTGGGTCCTTTCTAAGCAATCTGAGATTCTGCCGCTGTGCCTGTCTTCGCTCCTCCCTCTTCATAACTCTTCTGGTTCTGGGAGACCAGGAGGGAGGGGAGCTGGTCACAGCAGCAGGAGGAGACACCCTGGCTTCCTCACCAGCCTGACTCATCTCTGCCTCTTGGCCTCCTCTCCTGCCTCTGATTCTGGACTGCTATCTTCCTCAGACTCTCCCTGCTCACTAAACCCTGTTAGCTCTTCAACTTCCAATCATTCCTCCTCCCAGGCTTTTCCCTCTGGCCACTCATCATCGTCCCATCACCAACCCCTGGCTCTGAGTCTTCTTCCCTTGGGGGTTCCCCAGTTGCTGCCTCCTGCCACTCCTCTGCATCCAGCCAGTCCATGACAGCCAGCCTGCTCTCTTTATCTCTCTGGTCTGTTGCTCACCTGTTCCTAACCCAGTGAAGACTGGTCCATTAGGCCCGGTTGGGCATTGCCCCACCAAGCTCAGCTGTCCTCGGCTAGCCCCCAATTGCTTACCTCCTTAATTGCAAGGGCTATCAGCTTCCTCTTCCTGAGTCTCAGGGCTGACTTTGTAGAGCTCAGCTGGGAGGAAGACAGGGACAAAAAAACAGAATTAGTTCACTTTCCCTGTCACTGGCTCTGACTCCCTGACCTCTGCCCCACCAGGTCCAATAGCCAACAGCCACCACTGTCCTTGGCCCTTGCTGAGAGCCAGTGTGGTGTAGTGGTTAAGAGTGGTAGACTCGTAATCTGGTGAACCGGGTTTGCTTCCCCGCTCCTCCACATGCAGTTGCTGGGTGACCTTGGGCTAGTCACACTTCTTTGAAGTCTCTCAGCCCCACTCACCTCACAGAGTGTTTGTTGTGGGGGAGGAAGGGAAAGGAGAATGTTAGCCACTTTGAGACTCCTTCAGGGAGTGATAAAGCTGGATATCAAATCCAAACTCTTCTTCTCTTCTTCTTGTCTACAATGCTTACCTTAAGATTGGTCGCCTCTCTGTCTTCCTTAGAGGGCTCCCCACGGTATCACCTGCGGGATGGTGGCTCTCTGGAGATCTGGAACGTGACCAGGGCGGATGCTGGCAAGTACAAGATCTACTGCGAAAACCCAGAAGGCCACAATGAAACGGCCCTCTTGTTGGATGTGCAGTGTGAGTATCAGGTGGAGAGGGCATACCATGTATTCCGTCACTTGAAGGATGAGGGGCCTCATCTGTGCTTTTCTGTCCTTTGTGATTACTGTACAGCTCTGGCATGGTCTCCTCTGCCTTCCTTCTCTTGGTGTCTCAGCACACATCTTCTCGCAGCTGGCCTGGGTTTAGCTTCATGCCTACATCATGCTCTCTCTTTGTGCGGTGGTGTAACATAGGAATGGGCAAATCCTTCGGTTTCAGTTTCCATCATTTCCCCAATCTGAAGTGCTATTTGCTACATTTCCAGTCACACACACACACACACACACACACACACACACACACGTGTGCATCCCTAAGGCGGTCGGATGGTGCCTTGCTCGCCTCCTTCTGGCAACTCCTGAAGCCCAGCCAGTGCCAGACATATTGCTCTGCTTTCCTTTGGACCACATCAGCAAAGCTGAGAGGTGGTCTTAACGTTTGGGCAGCCCAAGACCTCCATACACCCTGGCCAGGCTTTTGCCCCAGAGAGGTGGTTTGAGTTCACTCCCAGAGGTGTGCTCCATTTTCTCTCTGAACAGCTGGATGCCAACAACGTATACTCTCTCTCTCTCTCTCTCTCTCTCTCTCTCTCTCTCTCTCTCTCATCTCTTTATGACATTTGTCAGCATTTTGGAGTTCACTTCTTTTAATATACACATTTTTGAATGCCATCTTACCTAATGAACACACCTTTCCCAGCAATTTCCCTTAATATACACTAGTGGCCAAAATTGTGGAAACCTTTTGGAAGAAGTGTATTTCTGAGGTTTGATGGCTCATAACACCACTTTTTTTAAAAAAGTAATACCATAAAATTACATATCAATGGAAAGATAATTTAATGAATAATGTAATGCAACAAAGTTTGTTCAGTTATCTGTATTCTATAAAAAGGTATAGCCGAATAACCAGAAAAAGGAAGCACAACTTGCTTAGGCTGATATGCAGTAGGTTTCCTCCATCTGAATCTAGCCAATGAGCGTGAGTGTTTAGAGAGCCAATCAGGTGTTTTGAGCAATCAAACTTGGGAAATACACTTTCCCCAAAAGGTTTCCACCATTTTGGCCACTAATATAATTCACTTTCATATACAATGTTTATGAATTCTCTTTATTTATTATTGTGCATACTTTCCCCTGTTAGACGCTTCCTTGGTTGGGAAACTGCATTGCTAACTGTGCATTTTGCAGGATAGCTGCTTTGGGGGAGTAACTATTGTTTCAGGACGTGTGAATTAGGTAGGTTTGCATTAAAATGTGGACCAAATTGAAATTCTTGCCTGTTGATAGCATGCCACATGCCTCCCCCCCCCCCCGTGAACAGATTCGCCATCCATCCGTAGCATTGGAGACCCAACCTATGTGGACCTGGGGGGCACAGCTGAGATTGAGTGCCAGGTGGATGCCAACCCCACACCTGCAAACATGTTCCAGTGGAGATGGCTGGTAAGTGGCTAGTCTAGACCAGAAGCTGAGGTTAAGGGTGGAAAAAGACTTTCTGTTTGCTTCAAGCTTTTACCCTGTGGCCCTGCTGATGATGCTGGACTACAAATCCCATTATTGCCAACCGTTGGGCATGCTGGCTGGGGCTCATGGGAGTTGGAGTCCAACTATATCTGGAAGGCTGCAGTTTCCTGACCTTTCCAGTCCAAGGGCTGCACTTCCCTTGTGGGTAACCTTATAGGGGCCACACAACAGTCCTAGGTGCACCCAAAGCCAAAATTGGGTGGAGAAATGGATGTGACTCTAATCGACCTTCCAGCTATTCAAACAGCTACATCTCTCCATCCTTGATGCAGAGGAGCAAGAGACATGAGTTCAACTGTATCAACAGTTTGATGACACAGTCCAGACAGGCAAGAGCACTGAAGGCAGGTATGGAGCAGGGCTGGTAAAGGGTGTGGTTTTGTAGCCTAGAGAAAATTCTGAGGACCAGCTGAAGAGGTTCTGGACAGGACTGGCCCACCCATGAGGTGGACTGAAGCAGCTGCCACGGGCGGCAGAGTTCCTCAGGGTGGTGCCTCTGTGGATAATTCCCCTGCCACTGCCAGAGTCATATAGTTAAAGCGGCTTGTGGAGGTTGTGTAGGATCTCACCAGAAGTCCCTGCCATGCAACCTTGGTAAGTAGAGGGGGAAGTGGTGGGGTTTGGAGGCGGCACCTTCCTTTTTCGCTTCTGGCGGCAAAACAGGCTGGGCTGTCTCTAAGTCCTCCACCCCTGCTTGTCCTCACTGCCATCCAAAATGCCACAACAGAGGCTGTTCCTTGTGAGTAAGAGAGAGATCTTTGTTCAGGCTTGGAATGGTACAAACTCATCAGCACACTCAGGGTCCATAAGACATGAATCCAAAGTATACCAGCAACAAAACCTTAAGCTGCTCTATTCTGTCAGCCAATAGTCTCACCAGACTATTTATTTCTGCACTTGGCTGCAATATATACCGAACGCCGATGCAATGTAGAGCATCTTTTACTCTCGATGCCAATAGGTTTGCGGGTTTGTTTGCTCTCCATTTCATTAATGCTTTTAGAAATTGTTTATCGCACTTGCATTCATATTGATTGTATTGCGCAGTTTTTATTATTAGGTTATTTGCCGCTCTGGGTACTTTTAGCAGAAGAGAGGGATATAAATAAACAAATAAATATTGACAGCTCCGTTGCGGCGGTAAAAAAATATGAAACCCACTGCACCATGGTTAGTTTGCTTTTGCAGAGAACCAGACAGTTCTTACCCTGTTAAGCTGATGTGGCTTTGCTCAGCGAGGTGAGCTTTTCCTCCAAGCTGTTGCCTAACTTAATAGCAAGTAAACCTGGTTTTCTTTCTTCTTTTGCAGATTAGTGAGGAGTGTCTGGCACTGCCAAGGAATATTTAGGAACCCCAAAATACTGTGATTTTAAAATGACTAGTGTAATTTGTAAGCTTAGACCCATCATAGCAAAAAATAATGGGTGAAGTCATGCCAAAGTCACATTTCAGTCCACCATCTTGAATCAGAATGGTGCTAGGCACTCCAAAGTTGGCAAAGACTGCCATCCCCCACCCCAGGAAGCCTCATGTCAAGTTTTGCTACAATAACTTGGAGGTGGAGCAAACCCATGCAAAAAAATGGGCAAAGTCACACCAGAGTCATGTTTTGTTCTGCCATCTTGATTCAAACGGCTCCCAGAACCCAAGTTTCAACATAGACCACTCCCCGCCATCTTGGGAACGCTTGTGCTGAGTTTGATGATGGTATCTTGAAAGGCAGCTGAACATATAGAGAACCAATGGACAACTCCTTTTCCAAAATATATAGTAGATCTATTTATTTATAAACCACTTCACAGCCAAAAGGTCTGTTTAATAAGTGGTGTATAATAAGATCAAATGAGATAAAACAAAAGATTGCAGGCTCTATGGACTAAAATAAAATAAATAAAATAAAATAAAATAGTTTCTACAGTATATTTCTACGATTGTGCATGCTTCTTTCCTGGGTGCTGACAGCTGGAAGATGCTTACTTTAATGGAATTAATTTTTTTTTGCCTGCAGCTCCTAGCCTGTTGACACAACCCCATTTCTTAAGTGGGGGGCAAGGATTATTGCCAGTGAAAGTGACAAGTCAGTTTTTGTAGCTAACAGGCAGGAAAGGCTCCAAGGATATGGTGTCGTTTTGTGTGACCTGATATTCTTTTAGAGCAGGGGTAGGTAACCTTTGGCCCTCCAGAAGTTGCTGAACCACAACTCCCATCATACCTGGCCATCGGCCATGTTTGGTGGGCCTGATGGGAATCATAGTCCTGCAACATCTGGAGGGCCAGAGGTTACCCCTATTTGCTTTGTAGTACCTTCCTCAACCTGGTGCCCCCCAGATGCTTTGGAGTACAAGTAGAATCATGATAGGGACTGTTGATTTGGTGACCCAGTCTAGGCCAGTGGGTGCCATGCCAAACCCTGTCCAATACACTAGCCCTCATTGGGTCCCCCCCAGTCAAGGTTTGAATTTGCTCAATGGCAACACAGAGGAGCAAGGAGTAAAGCTTAACCAGCAAAACCCACAGGTTCAGGATTAGGACTGGAACAAATAGCTTGGTTTATTATTGTACAAAGCTGAACAGTTTTATGAGATACTCTTCTGAAAGTTTATAGGACTTACAGAAAATAAAACAAAAGATATAAAATAGAACGTCCGAAAATAAAGCAATTTACATTTGATGAAATGTAAAGCAATTTGACGTCACTTGCATAAATTAATTAATGGTTTAGTAACGGCGTGAGCTAATAAATAGCACCGAGAAAGCAATGGATCTGAGCAAGTTACATGGTCTCCTCCTAACTCCCCTCCATCTAGTTCTAAAACTATTCCGTAGTATAGTAGATCAATAAATTTCTTAGCTACCAGTCCAAGACAATAGGTCAGACTTCAGCTGGGTGATACACACAAAGGTGCATAGGCGGGAGAGAGAAAGAAAGAGGAAGAAATATAAATCATACAACCAACCTTCCCACAATGCCCTCAAAGAACTAACGAATCCCTCCCCCCACATATAGACATTTTGCATTGAGCAGTAATTGGAAATGGGGCTGGACTTTTCCATCAATTTTGCACAATTTCACTACTTGTGTAGGCAGATCGTCATAAGACATGGAACATGAATGGCCATAATCTACTTGGGAAGGGGGAGAAAAAAGAGTGTAATTGAGATAGCTGCTGTATCACTTGTTCTCCATGCAGGGCACATGGGCATATGACAGCTGTCATGGGCTGACTGGGAACCCCAAGGAAACCCCCAGGGGAAGAAGGCTCAGAGCCAGGGAATTGATGGTGGAATGATGATGAGTGGTCAGACTGGGAGGATGAGGAGGAGATGTCAGAAGCTGAAGAGGCAACAGGGTTTAGTGAGTGGGAAGAGGCTGTGGCAGAGAGCAATCCAGAATGAGGGGCAGAAGCAGAGGGTGGGGGGGGCAAGAGGCAGAGATGAGTCAGGCTAGTGAAGAAGCCGGGTGTGTGTGTGTGTTTCTCCTCCTGCTGCTGTTATCAGCTCCCCTCCCTTCCCCGTCTCAGGGCGGTTCACAGTATAAATTGCAATATAGATGAAGGTGTGCTGGAGAAGGAACCAGGGGAGGAGTCTTAGAGAGTGATGGGAAGATGGAGACTTTTGGTCCTCGCAACTGCTTCTTTGGACCAAGACCTACTGGGAAGAGCTGCTGTGATCACTAGGCCTGAGCTGTTTTGATTTCTTTGAATAGAGAAATAAGTTAGTCAGAAATCAAGTAGTTATAACAAAAGAGAAAAAAACTGCTATGGAAAAACAGCTTAGATTTTTTTTTGCTCTCTAGCACCATCTGGTGTTGCATGTTTATAACACATTCAAATCACTGGTTTTTTTTTTACTAATGTAGCAGAGTCCCAGGTGTTTTATTGTTGACCTGCTCCCTGACTCTGGCTCCTGATACCAGCCCTGGATTGCCAAAATAGCTGCCTTTCATTTTTGCTTTGGCTTCGTGGTCATTTGCTGCAACTCTCCACTCAAAGTGCCTAAAGCAGCAAAGGTTTCTGCAAAGGTCCAGGCAGCTCACACAAAAATGACGCAGACGGGTGATAGCGTTGTCCACCTTTATCCATTATGGCTGCACCATGGTGTGCATTAACCTTTCTATAACGGCTGAGAATGCAAGCCTAGGTAGGCCCAGATTAACAGGGAGCCTCCCCCTTTGTCCCATGAGGCTATTTCAATGAAGGTACGTTCACCTGTCCTATACCTAATGTGTATGACATCAGATGGGCAGGTAAAGATGCAGCTGGGCCACACAGGGGTTTGCAGGTCAGCTGTGGGCTGGGCTTTGCAAGCTCTGACAAGAAGCTGATCATTGGGGCTTGCGAAATGCTGTGCACGGGGCTTTGCAAGCACAGTGTTGGGGCTTGCAAAGCACCTTGCCTTGAAAATATTAAAATTCTTATGAGTGATACTGAAGGATAGCAGCTAACGAAAGTATTGCACCTTGGGCAAAAAATAAAATAAAAAAATGAGAGGCACAAATACAAGATGGGTGACACCTGGCTTGAGAGCAGTACATGTGAAAAGGATCTAGGAGTCTTGGTTGACCACAAACTTGACATGAGCCAACAGTGTGACGCGGCAGCTAAAAAAGCCAATGCAATTCTGGGCTGCATCAATAGGAGTATAGCATCTAGATCAGGGAAGTAATAGTGCCACTGTATTCTGCTCTGGTCAGACCTCACCTGGAGTACTGTGTCCAGTTCTGGGCACCACAGTTCAAGAAGGACACTGACAACTGGAACGTGTCCAGAGGAGGGCAACCAAAATGTCAAAGGCCTGGAAACGATGCCTTATGAGGAACGGGCTAAGGGAGCTGGGCATGTTAGCCTGGAGAAGTAGGAGGTTAAGGGGTGATATGATAGCCATGTTCAAATATATAAAAGGATGTCATATAGAGAGGGAGAAAGGTTGTTTTCTGCTGCTCCAGAGAAGCGGACACGGAGCAATGGATCCAAACTACAAGAAAGAAGATTCCACCTAAACATTAGGAAGAACTTCCTGACAGTAAGAGCTGTTCGACAGTGGAATTTGCTGCCAAGGAGTGTGGTGGAGTCTCCTTCTTTGGAGGTCTTTAAAGCAGAGGCTTGACAACCATATGTCAGGAGTGCTCTGATGGTGTTCTGCTTGGCAGAGGGTTGGACTTGATGGCCCTGTGGTCTATTCCAACTCTATGATTCTATGATTCTAATATCCAGAGTGCAGTCCGGATTTCTGTGGAGAGAGGCTCCAGTTCTCAAACGTGCTCCAGTCAGTACCAGAACTGATCCTCTTATCTTGATATTGTACCCAGAACGATTTGGAGCAGAGCCTGGAAGAGCTGGGGATTGAACTGCAGTCGGACGGGCTGGTAGGGCGACTTCGAGTCCAGGAGGCAAAGCGAGCCCATGCCGGACTCTACGAGTGTCAGGCGGACAATGGGATTCCCCAGCAGCAAGGAGTAGCGCCGCTTGATTGTTCGATGTAAGTTTCCTCCTTAGTATTTCTTCAACTCCAACCTCTATATTTTGCCCTGCCCCACCTTCCCTGTGTCCAATGTCCACCACTTATTAAAGAGTAAGATATAAAGATATTGGGTTGTAGCTAATGCTGGTCTTATTCAGATAAACCCACTGAAATTCCTGGACATGAACTAACTTGGGTCTATTATTTCAATAGGCCTACCCTGAGTAGCTGACTAGAACCCATTGAGATCTCTAATACTAGGAGGCTTGCAAACAGTAATAGAGCAACCCAGTGCTCAAAATTAAGCAGGCCGGCCTGGGCTTTTACTTATTGAACAAAATGTATAGATTGCTTAATCAAAAAAAAGCAAAAGCCCCCAAGCAGTTGTCATAAAATGGCGTGAAATATTTATCAAAAATTACAGCTAAAATTAAGATTCCTTTTGTTTTAAAATGAAACATGTGTTATGAAATGATCAAAGATACAGATAAAAGCAACAAAATTTAAATCTGAACCCATATAATAAAACTCCACAATACACAGCACTGTGTTCAACCTCAGTTCTGCTCAGAGAAAAACTCACTGAAATGAATGGTTATTTGTGTCCATTACTTTTACAGGGTCTACTCAGACTAATTGGGATCCAGCCCCTGAGCTTGCAGAGTAGGTCCACTGGAAATGCCCATTAGTTTCAGTGGGTCTGTGCAGGACTCTCATCGGACGCAACTCATACATTCATAATACCCACTGATTTACATGAACTTACGCAGTAAAATTGAAACAAGAATTAAATACTGTGGTTTTATTGCTTTTTTGAGTTGGAGCTGAAACTCTGGTGGCTGCTGCAAATACGCTCGTCTCCTCGCAGACCATTCCTTTATGAATGCTGCAAATACTCTCATGATTTCTTCCTTGTTCTACTCCCCTCACTTGCACCCCAGACCCACCAGAGATCATCAAGAGCCCTGGACTGAGGAAAGTGGCGGCTTCAGGAGATGGAGAAGCCAGGCCGCGCTCCAGTGCAGAGCTCGAGGTGTTCCCACTGTGCACTTTAGCTGGGCCAAGAATGGTGTGTCCCTTGACTTCAGAGCCCAGGTGAGAGTTCTCAGGTGAACAGGTAGGTACGTGAGCGGGAATATAACAGGCATGAGAGAAGAGAAGTCTATTCTGGTCCTTTGCACTGGAAGGAAAGGACATTTGTTGACTAATACAGGGGTAGGGAACCTGTAGCTCACACATTGTTGCTGCACTACACTTTGCATTATCCCTGACTATGGGCCATGCTAGCTGGGAGGGAAGGGAGTTAGAGTTGATCAAATATCTGGATGGCCACAGGTTCTCCATCCTGAGTTAATATGCCTCCTGGAATCCTTAGCGGGCTTCATCCTTCTGGTGGAAAAAATGCCTTGCAGCGGAAGGGTAAATTGTGCAATGACATGCTGGGTGGGCCAGTGCCAGGAGCAATAAATCACATGGCATCAGTGAACTTAACTCTTTATTCAAGGAAACAAGATCTGCCTAGTGAGCACAGCAAGTCATCCCAGTAGGTCTTGCCCCTATGAGGCAGTTGTGGAGATTGAAGGTCCCTGCCTCTGCACAGTTACCTAAGTCTCCTCCTCCCCTGGGTCCTTTCTAAGCAATCTGAGATTCTGCCGCTGTGCCTGTCTTCGCTCCTCCCTCTTCATAACTCTTCTGGTTCTGGGAGACCAGGAGGGAGGGGAGCTGGTCACAGCAGCAGGAGGAGACACCCTGGCTTCCTCACCAGCCTGACTCATCTCTGCCTCTTGGCCTCCTCTCCTGCCTCTGATTCTGGACTGCTATCTTCCTCAGACTCTCCCTGCTCACTAAACCCTGTTAGCTCTTCAACTTCCAATCATTCCTCCTCCCAGGCTTTTCCCTCTGGCCACTCATCATCGTCCCATCACCAACCCCTGGCTCTGAGTCTTCTTCCCTTGGGGGTTCCCCAGTTGCTGCCTCCTGCCACTCCTCTGCATCCAGCCAGTCCATGACAGCCAGCCTGCTCTCTTTATCTCTCTGGTCTGTTGCTCACCTGTTCCTAACCCAGTGAAGACTGGTCCATTAGGCCCGGTTGGGGCATTGCCCCACCAAGCTCAGCTGTCCTCGGCTAGCCCCCAATTGGCTTACCTCCTTAATTGCAAGGGCTATCAGCTTCCTCTTCCTGAGTCTCAGGGCTGACTTTGTAGAGCTCAGCTGGGAGGAAGACAGGGACAAAAAAACAGAATTAGTTCACTTTCCCTGTCACTGGCTCTGACTCCCTGACCTCTGCCCCACCAGGTCCAATAGCCAACAGCCACCACTGTCCTTGGCCCTTGCTGAGAGCCAGTGTGGTGTAGTGGTTAAGAGTGGTAGACTCGTAATCTGGTGAACCGGGTTTGCTTCCCCGCTCCTCCACATGCAGTTGCTGGGTGACCTTGGGCTAGTCACACTTCTTTGAAGTCTCTCAGCCCCACTCACCTCACAGAGAGTTTGTTGTGGGGGAGGAAGGGAAAGGAGAATGTTAGCCACTTTGAGACTCCTTCAGGGAGTGATAAAGCTGGATATCAAATCCAAACTCTTCTTCTCTTCTTCTTGTCTACAATGCTTACCTTAAGATTGGTCGCCTCTCTGTCTTCCTTAGAGGGCTCCCCACGGTATCACCTGCGGGATGGTGGCTCTCTGGAGATCTGGAACGTGACCAGGGCGGATGCTGGCAAGTACAAGATCTACTGCGAAAACCCAGAAGGCCACAATGAAACGGCCCTCTTGTTGGATGTGCAGTGTGAGTATCAGGTGGAGAGGGCATACCATGTATTCCGTCACTTGAAGGATGAGGGGCCTCATCTGTGCTTTTCTGTCCTTTGTGATTACTGTACAGCTCTGGCATGGTCTCCTCTGCCTTCCTTCTCTTGGTGTCTCAGCACACATCTTCTCGCAGCTGGCCTGGGTTTAGCTTCATGCCTACATCATGCTCTCTCTTTGTGCGGTGGTGTAACATAGGAATGGGCAAATCCTTCGGTTTCAGTTTCCATCATTTCCCCAATCTGAAGTGCTATTTGCCACATTTCCAGACACACACACACACACACACACACACACGTGTGCATCCCTAAGGCGGTCGGATGGTGCCTTGCTCGCCTCCTTCTGGCAACTCCTGAAGCCCAGCCAGTGCCAGACATATTGCTCTGCTTTCCTTTGGACCACATCAGCAAAGCTGAGAGGTGGTCTTAACGTTTGGGCAGCCCAAGACCTCCATACACCCTGGCCAGGCTTTTGCCCCAGAGAGGTGGTTTGAGTTCACTCCCAGAGGTGTGCTCCATTCTCTCTCTGAACAGCTGGATGCCAACAACGTATACTCTCTCTCTCTCTCTCTCTCTCTCTCTCTCTCTCTCTCTCTCTCATCTCTTTATGACATTTGTCAGCATTTTGGAGTTCACTTCTTTTAATATACACATTTTTGAATGCCATCTTACCTAATGAACACACCTTTCCCAGCAATTTCCCTTAATATACACTAGTGGCCAAAATTGTGGAAACCTTTTGGAAGAAGTGTATTTCTGAGGTTTGATGGCTCATAACACCACTTTTTTTAAAAAAGTAATACCATAAAATTACATATCAATGGAAAGATAATTTAATGAATAATGTAATGCAACAAAGTTTGTTCAGTTATCTGTATTCTATAAAAAGGTATAGCCGAATAACCAGAAAAAGGAAGCACAACTTGCTTAGGCTGATATGCAGTAGGTTTCCTCCATCTGAATCTAGCCAATGAGCGTGAGTGTTTAGAGAGCCAATCAGGTGTTTTGAGCAATCAAACTTGGGAAATACACTTTCCCCAAAAGGTTTCCACCATTTTGGCCACTAATATAATTCACTTTCATATACAATGTTTATGAATTCTCTTTATTTATTATTGTGCATACTTTCCCCTGTTAGACGCTTCCTTGGTTGGGAAACTGCATTGCTAACTGTGCATTTTGCAGGATAGCTGCTTTGGGGGAGTAACTATTGTTTCAGGACGTGTGAATTAGGTAGGTTTGCATTAAAATGTGGACCAAATTGAAATTCTTGCCTGTTGATAGCATGCCACATGCCTCCCCCCCCCCCCGTGAACAGATTCGCCATCCATCCGTAGCATTGGAGACCCAACCTATGTGGACCTGGGGGGCACAGCTGAGATTGAGTGCCAGGTGGATGCCAACCCCACACCTGCAAACATGTTCCAGTGGAGATGGCTGGTAAGTGGCTAGTCTAGACCAGAAGCTGAGGTTAAGGGTGGAAAAAGACTTTCTGTTTGCTTCAAGCTTTTACCCTGTGGCCCTGCTGATGATGCTGGACTACAAATCCCATTATTGCCAACCGTTGGGCATGCTGGCTGGGGCTCATGGGAGTTGGAGTCCAACTATATCTGGAAGGCTGCAGTTTCCTGACCTTTCCAGTCCAAGGGCTGCACTTCCCTTGTGGGTAACCTTATAGGGGCCACACGACAGTCCTAGGTGCACCCAAAGCCAAAATTGGGTGGAGAAATGGATGTGACTCTAATCGACATTCCAGCTATTCAAACAGCTACATCTCTCCATCCTTGATGCAGAGGAGCAAGAGACACGAGTTCAACTGTATCAACAGTTTGATGACACAGTCCAGACAGGCAAGAGCACTGAAGGCAGGTATGGAGCAGGGCTGGTAAAGGGTGTGGTTTTGTGGCCTAGAGAAAATTCTGAGGACCAGCTGAAGAGGTTCTGGACAGGACTGGCCCACCCATGAGGTGGACTGAAGCAGCTGCCACGGGCGGCAGAGTTCCTCAGGGTGGTGCCTCTGTGGATAATTCCCCTGCCACTGCCAGAGTCATATAGTTAAAGCGGCTTGTGGAGTTTGTGTAGGATCTCACCAGAAGTCCCTGCCATGCAACCTTGGTAAGTAGAGGGGGAAGTGGTGGGGTTTGGAGGCGGCACCTTCCTTTTTCGCTTCTGGCGGCAAAACAGGCTGGGCTGTCTCTAAGTCCTCCACCCCTGCTTGTCCTCACTGCCATCCAAAATGCCACAACAGAGGCTGTTCCTTGTGAGTAAGAGAGAGATCTTTGTTCAGGCTAGGAATGGTACAAACTCATCAGCACACTCAGGGTCCATAAGACATGAATCCAAAGTATACCAGCAACAAAACCTTAAGCTGCTCTATTCTGTCAGCCAATAGTCTCACCAGACTATTTATTTCTGCACTTGGCTGCAATATATACCGAACGCCGATGCAATGTAGAGCATCTTTTACTCTCGATGCCAATAGGTTTGCGGGTTTGTTTGCTCTCCATTTCATTAATGCTTTTAGAAATTGTTTATCGCACTTGCATTCATATTGATTGTATTGCGCAGTTTTTATTATTAGGTTATTTGCCGCTCTGGGTACTTTTAGCAGAAGAGAGGGATATAAATAAACAAATAAATATTGACAGCTCTGTTGCGGCGGTAAAAAAATATGAAACCCACTGCACCATGGTTAGTTTGCTTTTGCAGAGAACCAGACAGTTCTTACCCTGTTAAGCTGATGTGGCTTTGCTCAGCGAGGTGAGCTTTTCCTCCAAGCTGTTGCCTAACTTAATAGCAAGTAAACCTGGTTTTCTTTCTTCTTTTGCAGATTAGTGAGGAGTGTCTGGCACTGCCAAGGAATATTTAGGAACCCCAAAATACTGTGATTTTAAAATGACTAGTGTAATTTGTAAGCTTAGACCCATCATAGCAAAAAATAATGGGTGAAGTCATGCCAAAGTCACATTTCAGTCCACCATCTTGAATCAGAATGGTGCTAGGCACTCCAAAGTTGGCAAAGACTGCCATCCCCCACCCCAGGAAGCCTCATGTCAAGTTTTGCTACAATAACTTGGAGGTGGAGCAAACCCATGCAAAAAAATGGGCAAAGTCACACCAGAGTCATGTTTTGTTCTGCCATCTTGATTCAAACGGCTCCCAGAACCCAAGTTTCAACATAGACCACTCCCCGCCATCTTGGGAACGCTTGTGCTGAGTTTGATGATGGTATCTTGAAAGGCAGCTGAACATATAGAGAACCAATGGACAACCCCTTTTCCAAAATATATAGTAGATCTATTTATTTATAAACCACTTCACAGCCAAAAGCTCTGTTTAATAAGTGGTGTATAATAAGATCAAATGAGATAAAACAAAAGATTGCAGGCTCTATGGACTAAAATAAAATAAATAAAATAAAATAAAATAGTTTCTACAGTATATTTCTACGATTGTGCATGCTTCTTTCCTGGGTGCTGACAGCTGGAAGATGCTTACTTTAATGGAATTAATTTTTTTTTGCCTGCAGCTTCCTAGCCTGTTGACACAACCCCATTTCTTAAGTGGGGGGCAAGGATTATTGCCAGTGAAAGTGACAAGTCAGTTTTTGTAGCTAACAGGCAGGAAAGGCTCCAAGGATATGGTGTCGTTTTGTGTGACCTGATATTCTTTTAGAGCAGGGGTAGGTAACCTTTGGCCCTCCAGAAGTTGCTGAACCACAACTCCCATCATACCTGGCCATCGGCCATGTTTGGTGGGCCTGATGGGAATCATAGTCCTGCAACATCTGGAGGGCCAGAGGTTACCCCTATTTGCTTTGTAGTACCTTCCTCAACCTGGTGCCCCCCAGATGCTTTGGAGTACAAGTAGAATCATGATAGGGACTGTTGATTTGGTGACCCAGTCTAGGCCAGTGGGTGCCATGCCAAACCCTGTCCAATACACTAGCCCTCATTGGGTCCCCCCCAGTCAAGGTTTGAATTTGCTCAATGGCAACACAGAGGAGCAAGGAGTAAAGCTTAACCAGCAAAACCCACAGGTTCAGGATTAGGACTGGAACAAATAGCTTGGTTTATTATTGTACAAAGCTGAACAGTTTTATGAGATGCTCTTCTGAAAGTTTATAGGACTTACAGAAAATAAAACAAAAGATATAAAATAGAACGTCCGAAAATAAAGCAATTTACATTTGATGAAATGTAAAGCAATTTGACGTCACTTGCATAAATTAATTAATGGTTTAGTAACGGCGTGAGCTAATAAATAGCACCGAGAAAGCAATGGATCTGAGCAAGTTACACGGTCTCCTCCTAACTCCCCTCCATCTAGTTCTAAAACTATTCCGTAGTATAGTAGATCAATAAATTTCTTAGCTACCAGTCCAAGACAATAGGTCAGACTTCAGCTGGGTGATACACACAAAGGTGCATAGGCGGGAGAGAGAAAGAAAGAGGAAGAAATATAAATCATACAACCAACCTTCCCACAATGCCCTCAAAGAACTAACGAATCCCTCCCCCCACATATAGACATTTTTGCATTGAGCAGTAATTGGAAATGGGGCTGGACTTTTCCATCAATTTTGCACAATTTCACTACTTGTGTAGGCAGATCGTCATAAGACATGGAACATGAATGGCCATAATCTACTTGGGAAGGGGGAGAAAAAAGAGTGTAATTGAGATAGCTGCTGTATCACTTGTTCTCCATGCAGGGCACATGGGCATATGACAGCTGTCATGGGCTGACTGGGAACCCCCAAGGAAACCCCCAGGGGAAGAAGGCTCAGAGCCAGGGAATTGATGGTGGAATGATGATGAGTGGTCAGACTGGGAGGATGAGGAGGAGATGTCAGAAGCTGAAGAGGCAACAGGGTTTAGTGAGTGGGAAGAGGCTGTGGCAGAGAGCAATCCAGAATGAGGGGCAGAAGCAGAGGGTGGGGGGGGCAAGAGGCAGAGATGAGTCAGGCTAGTGAAGAAGCCGGGTGTGTGTGTGTGTTTCTCCTCCTGCTGCTGTTATCAGCTCCCCTCCCCTTCCCCGTCTCAGGGCGGTTCACAGTATAAAATTGCAATATAAGATGAAGGTGTGCTGGAGAAGGAACCAGGGGAGGAGTCTTAGAGAGTGATGGGAAGATGGAGACTTTTGGTCCTCGCAACTGCTTCTTTGGACCAAGACCTACTGGGAAGAGCTGCTGTGATCACTAGGCCTGAGCTGTTTTGATTTCTTTGAATAGAGAAATAAGTTAGTCAGAAATCAAGTAGTTATAACAAAAGAGAAAAAAACTGCTATGGAAAACAGCTTAGATTTTTTTTTGCTCTCTAGCACCATCTGGTGTTGCATGTTTATAACACATTCAAATCACTGGTTTTTTTTTTACTAATGTAGCAGAGTCCCAGGTGTTTTATTGTTGACCTGCTCCTGACTCTGGCTCCTGATACCAGCCCTGGATTGCCAAAATAGCTGCCTTTCATTTTTGCTTTGGCTTCGTGGCCATTTGCTGCAACTCTCCACTCAAAGTGCCTAAAGCAGCAAAGGTTTCTGCAAAGGTCCAGGCAGCTCACACAAAAATGACGCAGACGGGTGATAGCGTTGTCCACCTTTATCCATTATGGCTGCACCATGGTGTGCATTAACCTTTCTATAACGGCTGAGAATGCAAGCCTAGGTAGGCCCAGATTAACAGGGAGCCTCCCCCTTTGTCCCATGAGGCTATTTCAATGAAGGTACGTTCACCTGTCCTATACCTAATGTGTATGACATCAGATGGGCAGGTAAAGATGCAGCTGGGCCACACAGGGGTTTGCAGGTCAGCTGTGGGCTGGGCTTTGCAAGCTCTGACAAGAAGCTGATCATTGGGGCTTACGAAATGCTGTGCACGGGGCTTTGCAAGCACAGTGTTGGGGCTTGCAAAGCACCTTGCCTTGAAAATATTAAAATTCTTATGAGTGATACTGAAGGATAGCAGCTAACGAAAGTATTGCACTTGGGCAAAAAATAAAATAAAAAAATAAGAGGCACAAATACAAGATGGGTGACACCTGGCTTGAGAGCAGTACATGTGAAAAGGATCTAGGAGTCTTGGTTGACCACAAACTTGACATGAGCCAACAGTGTGACGCGGCAGCTAAAAAAGCCAATGCAATTCTGGGCTGCATCAATAGGAGTATAGCATCTAGATCAAGGGAAGTAATAGTGCCACTGTATTCTGCTCTGGTCAGACCTCACCTGGAGTACTGTGTCCAGTTCTGGGCACCACAGTTCAAGAAGGACACTGACAAACTGGAACGTGTCCAGAGGAGGGCAACCAAAATGGTCAAAGGCCTGGAAACGATGCCTTATGAGGAACGGCTAAGGGAGCTGGGCATGTTTAGCCTGGAGAAGAGGAGGTTAAGGGGTGATATGATAGCCATGTTCAAATATATAAAAGGATGTCATATAGAGGAGGGAGAAAGGTTGTTTTCTGCTGCTCCAGAGAAGCGGACACGGAGCAATGGATCCAAACTACAAGAAAGAAGATTCCACCTAAACATTAGGAAGAACTTCCTGACAGTAAGAGCTGTTCGACAGTGGAATTTGCTGCCAAGGAGTGTGGTGGAGTCTCCTTCTTTGGAGGTCTTTAAGCAGAGGCTTGACAACCATATGTCAGGAGTGCTCTGATGGTGTTTCTTGCTTGGCAGAGGGTTGGACTTGATGGCCCTTGTGGTCTATTCCAACTCTATGATTCTATGATTCTAATATCCAGAGTGCAGTCCGGATTTCTGTGGAGAGAGGCTCCAGTTCTCAAACGTGCTCCAGTCAGTACCAAGAACTGATCCCTCTTATCTTGATATTGTACCCAGAACGATTTGGAGCAGAGCCTGGAAGAGCTGGGGATTGAACTGCAGTCGGACGGGCTGGTAGGGCGACTTCGAGTCCAGGAGGCAAAGCGAGCCCATGCCGGACTCTACGAGTGTCAGGCGGACAATGGGATCTCCCCAGCAGCAAGGAGTAGCGCCCGCTTGATTGTTCGATGTAAGTTTCCTCCTTAGTATTTCTGCAACTCCAACCTCTATATTTTGCCCTGCCCCACCTTCCCTGTGTCCAATGTCCACCACTTATATAAAGAGTAAGATATAAAGATATTGGGTTGTAGCTAATGCTGGTCTTATTCAGAGTAAACCCACTGAAATTCCTGGACATGACTAACTTGGGTCTATTAATTTCAATAGGCCTACCCTGAGTAGCTGACTAGAACCCATTGAGATCTCTAATACTAGGAGGCTTGCAAACAGTAATAGAGCAACCCAGTGCTCAAAATTAAGCAGGCCGGCTGGGCTTTTTACTTATTGAACAAAATGTATAGATTGCTTAATCAAAAAAAAGCAAAAGCCCCCAAGCAGTTGTCATAAAATGGCGTGAAATATTTATCAAAAATTACAGCTAAAATTAAGATTCCTTTTTGTTTTAAAATGAACATGTGTTATGAAATGATCAAAGATACAGATAAAAGCAACAAAATTTAAATCTGAACCCATATAATAAAACTCCACAATACACAGCACTGTGTTCAACTCAGTTCTGCTCAGAGAAAACTCACTGAAATGAATGGTTATTTGTGTCCATTACTTTTACAGGGTCTACTCAGACTAACTTGGGATCCAGCCCCTTGAGCTTGCAGAGTAGGTCCACTGGAAATGCCCATTAGTTTCAGTGGGTCTGTGCAGGACTCTCATCGGACGCAACTCATAATTCATAATACCCACTGATTTACATGAACTTACGCAGTAAAATTGAAACAAGAATTAAATACTGTGGTTTTATTGCTTTTGAAGTTGGAGCTGAAACTCTGGTGGCTGCTGCAAATACGCTCAGTCTCCTCGCAGACCATTCCTTTATGAATGCTGCAAATACTCTCATGATTTCTTCCTTGTTCTACTCCCCTCACTTGCACCCCAGACCCACCAGAGATCATCAAGAGCCCTGGACTGAGGAAAGTGGCGGCTTCAGGAGATGGGAGAAGCCAGGCCGCGCTCCAGTGCAGAGCTCGAGGTGTTCCCACTGTGCACTTTAGCTGGGCCAAGAATGGTGTGTCCCTTGACCTTCAGAGCCCCAGGTGAGAGTTCTCAGGTGAACAGGTAGGTACGTGAGCGGGGAACCTGATAACAGGCATGAGAAGGGATAGAAGAATCCGTCAATTCTGGTTCTTTCATTTTCTCATTTTTCCAATTTTAAACTTGGTACTCCACTTTTCTGTAGCAATTTGCTCCCTCCCGCCCCCCCCCATGCTTAAAAAAGGAAAAATGGTGCATGGAAATTCTTTAGCCTTTTGGTGCAAATTTCACCTAATAAGCACATTTTTGTATGCAGTATTGACTGTTGCAGACATTTTTGCAAGCAATTTGCAGAGTGGCTGGGGCAACCCAGCCAGGTACAACAACAACAACAACAACAACAACAACATTTCCCCATATATAATCCCCATTTGCATATCTACACACTTCCCCCAAATATATGCATTTTTGTAAAAAAATGTTTGGAGAACTGCGCTGCAAAATCCAGATAAGTGCAAATTTCAAAGCCTGCCTGTGTTTTGGTTCTTGTAGTGTTTCAGAAGGAGCAAATCTGATCAAGTTTGACTTTAAATGCGAACTGAATCAAATTTCTCCTCCCATCCTTAGCCAGGAGCGGTTCATCTGTGGGGCGGAGCCACAACAATACTCTCCTGGCGAAAGCACTGCTGCTGTATGCCAAGAAGGGGCTGTGGTGAGGGCAGCAGCGAGGACACGGCTGCACAGATGTCCTGGTGGGCGCATTAGATCGGCTTTGCTGGTGCATCTGCACAGCCCCAACCTTTCTGCCAATTCCCCCCTCTCCTTCCTGGTACACAGCAGCAACGCTGCTGATGGGAGGTTCGCGTGGTGGGTCTGCCCCCGCTGGGTGGGCCATTGCTGATATGTGAGGATGCTGCTGCGGTTCATGTCCTGCTCGCAGGTTGTTCTGTCATCTGATTGGCCACTGAGAGAATAGGATGCTGGAGTAGATGGATCTTTGGCTTGCTGCATCATGGCCTTCCCAATGTCCCAATGTCCTTAGTTTGTCTTATAGTGTAAAGGCTATAGCATCACCCCTGGTGCCCTCCTAGTTAAGTGCCCCAATAACTCTGGCATCTGCAGGAGCCTAATGCACAAGTCTTCTGCGACACATCTGAAATGTCAAATATTGTTTGATTCGAAGGTGTTGCAGGGGCAAGCATCCAGTGACAAGCATCCTTCCGCCAATCCTGGGGAACCCTGCCTCGCTTGCAGGGCTGGGTTCACCTTCATCCTGCATGCCTCTGTTGTCTCCCCCTTCTACTTACTCCAAAGCAAGCTCCTCTGTCCTGACACAGCAGAAGGAATAATGATGATGATGATGATGATGATGATGATAATAATAATAATAATAATAATAATAATAATAATAATAATAATTTTTTATTTATACCCCGCCCTCGCCAGCCAGGGCCGGGCTCAGGGTGGCTAACACAAAATATAAATTACAATAGAACGTAATAGAAAAAAAAAACCAATTAAAATATGGCTTAAAATACAGCCTCATTTTTATGTAGCCCACAAATCAAAGACCATAAAGGGAGGAAACATCAGATATTCACCTGAGCCAGCTATCCATGCTGGCCCTACATGGGCCAGCAAAAAAGCCAAGGGAAAATTTATATGCTGTTGATGGCAAGTGTTCTCGAGGTTTCTTGAGCATGTGTATAGGACCCTCACCTTGTTTTCAGGGGAGGGTGTGGGATGTTCATGCGACCCAAGTTGTTTTCATCTCAGAGTGGGGAGGGCAAGGAAAACCTGTGGCCTGCCAGATGTTATTGGACTCCAACTCCCATCAGCCCCATGCAGTATGGCCAATGGTCAGGGATGATGGGAGCTGCAGTCCAGAGACATCCAAAGGACTGCATTCCCATGCTGTAGGGAAACAGAAGGAGAATAATGGGAGCTGTGCTACTAAAAATGTTCAGTGCAGTTCTGGCTCAGATTCAGTTCTGGCCTGAAGTTTGTTCTGACATGGATGCTGGCCAGTCGAAGCAAATAAAGACCTGGCAAGAGGTCTGGTAGTCACCTGGAACCAGCCCAGTTCTCACTGAATTGGGAAAAGTTTAAAATACCACTAATGTTCCTGTGCTGATTTGCATAGCAGAATGGGGGTGGAGCAGCTTAACGCGTCTAATTTGTTCCAGCTAAATGTCAGCCATAACCCATAAATAGTATGAAGCATGTCTGAAATTAAAAATAACCAGAACACTTATCTGTAAGTTCATGCTTTATATATAAATTAAAAATGGGATTTTATTTTATTTATTTATCTTTTTTAAAAAAACATTTCAGGCAAATTCCACTCCTAAACCTTAAAGCAATTTTTATCCTGTTTCCTGCTTTAGGCATTTTAAGGGCAGGAGCTATTGTTGGCTACTAACCCAGATGTTTTTGCTCTACCTACACTGCTGGAGGCTGTGTGCTTCCAAATGCCATTTGCTGGATACCTCAGAGGGAGAGAAGGAGGCTGCTATTCTCAGGTTCTGCTTTTGGCTTCTCATGGGCATCTGGTTGGCAGCTGTAAAAACAGGAGGCTGGATGAGATGGGCCACTGACCTGATCCAGAAGGCTATTATTATTATTAAAATTTATAAACTGCCCTTTGTCAAAACAAACAAACAAACAAACAAACAAACAAACAAACAAACAAACAAACTACAGGGCAGTTTACAACACAGAACATAACAAAAATATATATGTGCAAACATAACATTATATCTAAAAAAGGTAAAGGTAAAGGATCCCTGAGAGTTAAGTCCAGTCACAGACGACTCTGGGGTTGCGGTGCTCACCTCGCTTTACAGGCCGAGGGAGCCAGCGTTTGTCCACAGACAGTTTTATACCCCCCAAATGTATCATGAAATTCAAAGTGAATAATAATAATAATAATAATAAAAATAAAATTATTATTATTATTATTATTATTATTATTATTATTATTATTATTTTATTATTTATACCCCAGCTATCTGGCTGGGTTTCCCCAGACACTCTGGCCAGCCCCCAACAGATTAAAAACAGAATAAAATGAGGTTTATGTGGGGTTCCCATGTTCTTCAGGCTGTGGATGAAACTACATGTGACACAGAGTTCTGTGAGGATGTGTGATTTCCCATACCCACACAGAGTGCAATTGAAGTGGAGACCCGTGTGAGGAGAGAGGGCCCTTGCCACTTTCTATTCATGCCACACCCAGCCTTGAAAACCATGCCTAATCTGCTTTTAACTGCACAAGGGGGCAGGCTCCATGTTGGGGTCATGTGGCCAGCATGACTAAGCCGCTTCTGGTGCAATGGAACACCGAAACCAGAGCAGCGCAGGGAAACGCCGTTTACTTTCCTGCTGCAGCGGTGGCTATTTATCTACTTGCACTTTTTTGGCGTGCTTTCGAACTCCTAGGTTGGCAGGAGCTGGGACCGAGCAATGGGAGCTTCTGATCAGCAAGCCCAAGGTTCAGTGACCACAACGATACCCCCCCCCAAAATCCTCAAATCAGTTATATAAATTGGCTCCACCTCTTTGTGGGGACACGTTGTGGGCAAGCTGCCAAGCCTCCCCCCTCAGCGTGGTGTCAGGACTGCATCCCGCCCTACGCTGGGGAGGCCCGGCCATGCCAGGTAGCCAAGCGGCCAATCAGGTTGCTTGGGGTGTGTGGCCAGGGCCAATGTAAACCACGGCGCAATGCTGAATCGCCCCTTTTCAGCCTTGCGCCCGTTAACATTAACCTAAAATTCTGTGTCCTTGTGTCGTTATTCTCATGGGGGTGGCTTGGGGGCTTTGACACGCAAATGCAATTATAAGTATAAAGAATGCATGCTAAAATACAGATTCTCCTAAGCTATGTTATTATCTACTCATCTCAGGTACAACTAAATCGGTGCATTTTTTCTAGAAAAAGGGGTGCCAGAACTCACCACGAACACATCCCTTGTTGTAATGACAATGGCGCCCACATGAGAGGTGTCGGAACTGAGTTCCGGCTTGGAAAAAAAGCCCTGACTTTAATACACATCTAACAGTCTTAAGAAATAAGGGAGGGGGGAATCAGCAGTACAGAAGCAGTGCAGAAGGACACACTCTTCTCTCTTTGTAAAAGTAGCTCTTGATCTCCATCCTCGCAGAAAATGAAGTCCTTGTGTTCTTATTGACAGAGTGCTTCATTACATTGCAACTTGCCTTCAGCTTCTGTTTTCAATGGGCGAGATATCATTTGTGTTTTGATCTTGAAGTACAAATCTGAGAAGAGCCCTTGTTGCATCAGCCAATGGCCAACCCCCACCCAGCATCCTGTTCTCACAGTGGCCAAACTGGTGCCTACAGGAAGCCTGCAAGCAGGAACTTAGAGCAACAACAACAGCCCCCCACTTGGGACCCCCAGCAATTGGCACTGAGGGAGCAATGACTGTGGAGGGAGAACATAGCCATCGTGGCTGGTAGCCATTGATAGTGCTATCCTCCATGAAAGATCTGGAAAGATTGTTGATCAGTAGACTGCCTAGCTAGCTCAGTTGGTAGAGCATGAGACTCTTAATCTCAGGGTTGTGGGTCTGAGCCCCACTCTAGTCTACCTAAACCACTCCAACTCTATGATTTCTTAAAGGGGTAGCTGAGGAATGGTAGAGGCAGCAGTGACCGAAAGCTGGGTGGGTGGGGAACTTCTCCTGGTCACCTGCAAGACTCACAGAAAACTTGTTGGTGGATGAACAGCAGGTTTGGCAACTCCCAGAAGTCCAGCTGGCAGAGTGGATGTCTTGTAAGTAGATATCCCTGGAGAGCCTGGGCATTGTCAAATTCATGCCTGGAGGACTAGATGATCCTTGTGGTCCCTTCCAACTCTACTATTCTAGGATTCTATTATTCTTTTCTACCTGATCTCTTGCCGTCATTACCTTCTTCCAGGTATACTGTGGCTGCAGAACATGAGGGCTCCTTGCACACCAGCACCTTAACCATTGCCAATGTGAGCGCCGTTCTTGACTACGCCACCTTTACCTGCACAGCCAGCAATGAACTGGGCACAGATACCCTCGACATCCAGCTACTTAGTACCAGTAAGGACAAATGGGCCGCTAAGATCTAAGTCAGGGATCAGCAAACTTTTCCAGCCATGGGCCGGCCCACTGTCCCTCAGACCTTGTGGGGGGCCGGCCCATATTTTTTGGGGGGAAATGCCCCACAAATAACCCAGAGATGCATTTTGAATAAAAGGACACATTCTACTCATGTAAAAACACACTGATTCCCAGACCGTCCGTGGGCCGGATTGAGAAGGCGATTGGGCCGGATCCGGCCCCCGGGCCTTAGTTTGCCTACCCCTGATCTAAGTTGTAGACCTGGCATATGTATCAACTGAATATGAGGGGCAAAGACTTACTATCCCTTTTTAAAAGATCTTAAACAGTTCATTTCTTTCTTACCAGGCCGCCCTGACCCACCATCAAGGCTAAAGGTTGTAGGTGTTGCCCACAACTGGCTGGCTTTGGAGTGGAGCCCTGGCTTCGACGGAGGGCTTCAGCAAAGCTTTCGTGTCAGGTAGGAGTCATTTGGCAAAAGCCACAAACATTACTCAAATGGGAATCTTTAAAAATGAAACAGGTCAGTTGTTTAAAGCAGGGAGCTATGGGAATTGGTTTGGTGAGGAGATGCCCTGGCTCCCTAACAGTTCCAAAGACTCCCTTGTGGATAAGCTTTGGTAAAAAAAAAAATATTAAGCCAAAATGACAGTGTACACCCTTGCACTATTAGACCAAAAGTAAATATATCTTTGTCTGGCTTCAGAAAGATGACAAAGTCAATCCCAGAGCAGCTTCCTTGGGGAAAGCATTCCACAGTAGTGGGGATACTGCAGAAAATACTCAGTATTGATCCAGAGTAGATTCCAATGTATCGTTAGCAGAGTAACAACTTAAACACGTTGCAGGATTCCCCAAAAATAGACCAGAGGCAATTGTATTTCATCCAGCAGAGCTTTACTGCTACTGAAGGCAAATGAGCATAATGGTCACAAATCCAATACATTCAGGATTGGCACAGTCCATAAGAAATCCAGTTGCAGCAGACTTAACTTAAACTTACAATAACTTATATAAGACTAAACCCTAACACTATATACAGAACACCACACCAGAAGGAAGAGAGATAGAAAGAAAGAAAGAAAGAAAGAAAGAAAGAAAGAAGAAAGAAAGAAAGAAAGAGAAAGTGAAGACCCAGGCTCCTTCTGGCCTATCATTGCAGTCAGCATGACCTTGACTGAAAGAGATAACAGAGCCAGTGTAAACCAGCTGTACTCAGCTTCCCTGAAGGAATAACCCAAACATCACGAACCTCCTGCTTGTTTCTTTCACACAGAGAAGCTTGAATGAAGTAGAATAGGAAAGATCTCTACACATCAGATCAATACTTTCTGCACTAAGAAATGCAAACTGACAGTTCTCTCATTGCTACCCTCCAAACATCTTTTGGAGGGGGCACATAGAGAAGGGCCTTAAATCTCAACCTCAGGATTAGGTGGTTCATATGGTGAAAAAGTGGTCCTTGAGGTCCCAAGCCATGCAAGGCTTCAGAGGTCAAAAACAACCCTTTGAGTTGGGTTTGAAACTGATTGGTAGCCAGGACAAGCAAGCCAGAACTGCAGTTGTGTGTTCCTCTATCTGTCTGAAAAGCAAAATAACTTACCTGAGCATGTTTCTTGAACCAAGTACCACATCAGTTTTACGATGGGAAGGAGGGAGGAGGCAGTGACGGCCACCAACTCAGATGGCTTTAAAAGAGGCCTCATCCAGCAGGCTGATTGTATGTTCTTATGGAGATGTTGGACATTAAATGACATTTTCCACTTGCGCCTCTTTTTCGCCCACTTCCACCCAGGTACCACTGGCCAGCAGCTCCCAGCTTTAGGTATGTGGATGTCTTCCCGCCGCAGTCTCCTGCATTCACCTTGATGGGCCTGCGCCCAAACACCGTCTACAATGTCTCCGTCAATGCCCGCAATGCCCTTGGTGAAAGTGACTTTGCTGATGGTGGGGCAGGACTGAGTGTCACCACTACAGGTAAGGAGCACCTTGCTGCTTAGCAAGGATGGAGCCAGCGCAAGGGTGTGGCTATTAAAGGTCACATTCAACCACACTTTCACTGTGTGAGTATACTTGTGTGTAGGCACCTCTTTAGAAGCTTCCATCCATTTAGCAGAGTTTCTGGAAGCAGTGGTCAGCAACTGAAGCTACACCTTGAGAAGAAACACTCAGAGACGCCGTAAAACTCAGTCAAGTGATTTATTGCTTGATTGGTCATAAACGCATCACGGTAGCACTGTTTACAATCATTATAGCAACAGCTGTAATGTTTCAGTCCCTCTTTCTCTTTAGCAACGATGTAGGCAGACACAGTCTATCGGCAGCCATGACGCAGCAGCTTGCAGACAGCACTTGTTGGTCAGTCGTCTGCAAAAAGTGAAAACAGAAGTCCTCCTTTTATCGGCACTTCCAGCTGAAGCTGCCCATGCTCTGAGTGCCACTCCCACTTTCTGGATGAATGACTCTTAACAGTGGCCTGCACTTCAAGAAGCAATAGGCAGTGCTGTGTAGTAGGCTGAGCATTGCATTTAGACCGGAGAGATCCAGGTTCAAATCTGTGTCCAGTGATCAATTTCTGACCTTGCGCCAGTTGCTCTCTCAATCTTGCCTGCCTCTTGTGGTTGCTGTGAGGATAACAAAATGGGAAGGGGTGGAGAGGGAGTCAGGTAAACTACTCTGAGTTCCTAAAGGAAAGTAAGGTAAAGGGACCCCTGACCATTAGGTCCAGTTGCGATGACTCTGGGGTTGCGGTGCTCATCTCGCTTTATTGGCCAAGGGAGCAGGCGTACAGCTTCTGGGTCATGTGGTCAGCATGACTAAGCCGCTTCTGGCAAACCAGAGCAGCGCACGGAAACACCGTTTACCTTCCTGCCGGAGCGGTACCTATTTATCTACTTGCACTTTGACCTGCTTTCGAACTGCTAGGTTGGCAGGAGCAGGGACCGAACAACGGGAGCTCACCCCATCGCGGGGATTCGAACCGCCAACCTTCTGATTAGCAAGTCCTAGGCTCACAGCGCCACCCACATCCCTAAAGAAAAGTATAAGCATGTAATAAGTGAGAAACAGAGTGGCAAAACGATCCTGGATTAACTGTTATGCTAAGCATGCTGTAGAGCTGGGTCGTAACAGAAGAGTGGGTTAGCAGTGACTCAAGTACTGGAAAGTGGCAGATTTCTGTGACTTTCATTCTTTTTTCCTGAAGGTATGGGATTTTGCTTACCCTTCCTGACCCAGCCTATATCATCACATTGATATGACCATCCTTGTATTAGGCAAATTGTCCTGTTCTGATGCTATCAGAATCTGGGCGCTATGTTCCATCATGGTTTAATGTGTTCTCTTCTAGGGAGTGAGGAAGAACCAGTTGACAGAGAACCCAAAACGCCATCTCTACCTGAACCAGGTACAAAAATGTTAACAACTAGTAGAGTTGAAGTCCATGTTGTTGATAGAGCCATTTCCTGCTGTGGCCCTCTCTGCCTTGATGCTCTGTTGCAGTCAGGGCTGAATGTATGGATAGATCAGTTGGTTAGAGTTTGGTGCTGGTAATGCCAAGGTTGCAGGTTCAGTCCCCATAAGGGACGGCTGCATCTTCCTGCATTGCAGAGGGTTGGACTGGATGATCCTCAGGGTACCTCCCACCTCTAGTTATCTATTAACAATTGCTGAATTGCTCAAGTCAAAATGCCGGTGTGTGATACAGCAGTCAGTATCCCAACAACCACTGTGTTCCTTAAAACAGCAACAGATGCAAACCTATGTTTCTAGTCTACAGAGATAGGTTTGCCGTACAATGGTAATACAGTGGTACCTCTGGTTACGTACTTAATTCGTTCCGGAGGTCTGTTCTTAACCTGAAACTGTTCTTAACCTGAAGCACCACTTTAGCTAATGGGGCCTCCTGCTGCTGCCGTGCCGCTGGAGCAAGATTTCTGTTCTCATCCTGAAGCAAAGTTCTTAACCCGGGGTAATATTTCTGGGTTAGCAGAGTCTGTAACCTGAAGCGTATGTAACCTGAAGCATATGTAACACGAGGTACCACTGTACACAGGAATATTTTGGAATGCAGAGGGAGCCTGAGTGAGAGAAGAGGTTAGCAGCTGAAGCCTGAGCCCTGTGATGTCCCCAGTGTTTAGTATAGAAGCAGAACAATAGAAAATTTGCAAAGACACAATGCTGATATTTTTCCAGGTCTTCTCTCCCCCCCACTCTCTCTGCAATTTGGATTTTGCTTTCGGTTTCATTTTGGCACCGAGTACAAACAGCTTTGATTGTCGATTGCATACGGCTTCTGGCACATTTAGTTTATTGCACAATGAATGTGTAAAAGTTTCCATTTGATGTGCACGCTCCATCGATATGCTCGAGGTGGTGAGCCTGTTGCAGGGATATTGCATTTTCCAGGCACTCTTCAATCTTTTATACTGGTTGCTTTTGCCAGATAATGGATCAATGGTTGATCAGAGTCTACTATGCGGGATGTGGAAATGCAAGTATGTTGGGTAGGTTTGCCAGCATTTTCAGCAGCACCTGCTCCTCTCCCCCCAGGCAGTTATGGGAACTGTAGACATTAGCAAGTGACAATGCTCCATACTGTGTAAAATGTCACGTGACGATTTCTGTAGGTCACACACAGATTAAAAGCACAGAAGCAGGCCACACCAGACTGTATGGTCAGTTGGCAAACCTCCTCGCTGGCACCAGCAGGAAACTTTTTTAAAATGATAAACCAGTCATTAGTCAATTACCACTAGGAATGGATGAATCTGTCAATTTTGGTTTCTCTCAGTTTCTCATTTTTCTGACCCTAAATGTACTTCTCCACCTTTCTGCAGCCATTTGAGATTTTTCTAAAAAATACTGATTTCTCATAGGGTTGCCATATATCCTCTTTTTCCAGGACACTTCCTCTTTTTCACACGTGTGTAAATTGAGAGTCATCACAGCAATCCATAGTTAAAAGTAGAAGACGGCAAATGTGTCCTCTTTTCGGCTCAATACGGCAACCCTAGCAAGCATATTTTTGTATGCGGTTTTAACCAGCCTACACATCTTTGCAAGTGATTTCCCCCAGCACAATGCATTTTGTATGTGCTTTCATGAATATATGCATTTATATGCACACTTTCCTATAATATATCGTTTTGGTATGTAGGCAGTTTCTCACTGAAATGCAAATGAAATCAAAATTCTCTCTCTTCTCCACTTGTATAACTTAGCGCATTATCATACCACTTTGCAAACCAGTGTAGTTTTAATTTCCCTTAAGGAAAAAACAAGCTTTTCTTTCAAACCTGTGCCCTCTCCCTCTCCTCAGCTGGAGTATATGAGACACTCAGGTTTGGGGGGAAGAGGGGCAGACAGCAGGAAGGCTGCAGTAAAACTATTCCTAGGGCCAGCACATGACAATGGGACAGCTCTGCCTTCTCCCATCCTGCTCTGTTCCTCGGGATACGCTGCCCGAGTAATGTCTCATGGTACAGCCAGCCCTAACAGTTCTGTCCAAATCTGCTGTGCACAGCAAAGGCTATTTGCTGAGAGCCAGTGTGGTGTAGTGGTTAAGAGCGGTAGACTCGTAATCTGGTGAACTGGGTTCGCTTTCCCGCTCCTCCACAGAAAACTGCTGGGTGACCTTGGGCCAGTCACACTTCTTTGAAGTCTCTCAGCCCCACTCATCTCACAGAGTGTTTGTTGTGGGGAAAGAAGGGAAAGGAGAATGCTAGCCGCTTTGAGACTCCTTTGGGTAGTGATAAAGCGGGATATCAAATCCAAACTCTTCTTCTATTGTGGGATTAATTTTGACTTTTAAGAATCTGGAAGGAGATTCTAACTCGTGGGTGAGGGAGTTTCAAGATTTTGCGGTCCTTTCTCCTGGCAATAATAATAATAATAATAATAATAATAATAATAATAATAATAATTTATTATTTATACCCCGCCCATCTGGCTGGGTTTCCCCAGCCACTCTGGGTGGCTTCCAACAAAACACTAAAATACAATAGCCTAGTAAACATTAAAAGCTTCCCTAAACAGGGCTGTCTTTAGATGTCTTTTAAAAGTTTGGTAGTTATTTTTCTCTTTGACATCCGGTGGGAGGGCATTCCACAGGGCGGGTGCCACTACCGAGAAGGCCCTCTGTCTGGTTCCCTGTAACTTGGCTTCTCGCAGTGAGGGAACTGCCAGAAGGCCCTCAGCGCTGGACCTCAGTGTCCTGGCAGAACGATGGAGGTGGAGTAAAACGATGGAGGTGGTTGCAGTAAAAGGAGGACTGCATGTTTAGGGAAGCTTTTAATGTTTAATAGGTTATTGTATTTTGGTGTTCTGTTGGAAGCCGCCCAGAGTGGCTGGGGAAACCCAGCCAGATGGGCGGGGTATAAATAATAAATTATCATCATCATCATCATCATCATCATGGTGGTGGTGGCGGCGAGGGAGCTGCTTTCCTCTGTGCCCTCACCTTTTAAACTTTTTCCTTCTTCCCCAGTGAGCCCTTTGCTGCCTCTTCCTCTTGTTGGGCTCCTCAGCACCTTAGGGGTTCTTCTCATAGTTTCCAACTTGTCCTTCCTGGGCTGTTTACTCTGCCGCCGACAGGTCCGAACTCTCAAAGGTAAGCAGACCCATAGCTCACTCCTTAGGAATGGGGCATGGGGAGATTCACACTGTCTGCTCTGCATAAGAGCCCTGGAAACACTGGGCACTGAAGGTAAATTCAGAATCATTGGAGGGCTCTCCAGTTCTAATAACATGGAAAAGGTTTTTGCTCCCTATCCACATTTTTCATGCCATTGCATAATTTTATACACCTCTATCATGTCCCACCAGCAAGGAGTGAATCTGTCCGCTTCAGGTTCTCCCCATTTCTCATTTTCCCAGTCTTCTGTTCAGCTTTCCCTGTTTTCAGCTTGTGATGTCATTTTAAAGCCCAAATGATAATTCGTCAGCATTTTCGTGTGAATTTATATTAATAGACACCTGTGTTTACGCACCTTGTTCCTGAGATATACATTTTTTGCAAAGGAATTTCCCTTAAAATAATCTATTATTTTCATGGATATATGCATTGTGCACACACTTTGCACCAGTACATGCATTTTTGTACCCATGTCCTGCGTGGTGTATTGCAAAATCCAGTGAATGGTGAATGTCAAAGAATGACTGCATTTTGCTTTTGGATAATTTCAGAAAGTGTGACTTACTTGGGATGCACATTGAATCCAGTTTCCCTCATCCATTTCCCTTATGTGCATTTTCTCTAAACTCACCCCCTTCCCCTTAATGTTCTAACTTTTTCGGACTGGGGAGCTGCTCCTTCCACAGTGTTGGACTCCATTGACTCCCACCCACCCACCGCTTGTCTTTGTATGACCCTTCTTTTGTATCTCTCTCTCCTTACAGTTGATGGAACCCAAGAAGAAGTCAAGTAAGTATTAACTGGGCAGGAGGGAAGGAGGCCATTGGGGGGGGGGGAGCCCACCACTTTCCCCAGAATTATCTTTTGCACATGTAGCAACTGTGAGACTAGGAGACGCTGCTTAGAACCATCAAGTTGGAAGGGGATGTGGAAGTCATCTAGCCTAACCCCATTAAATTCAGGCTCTGCAATGCAGGATGCAACCAGAGCATCCCTGACTGGTGACGGTCAACCCTCTGCTTTAAATGCCTCCACCACCTTTAGAGTCAGTCTCCACCGTCGAACAGCTCTTCAGGTGAAACCTTTCACAGCAGCACGTCCTCTTGCTGTGTGTGTCTGGAGGGACAATGCACTGACCAATTTTCTTTCCTGGTTATGTGGCTGTTAAAGGCCCAGGAGATCTCCCTCCCCCCAAAAGAACTTTTAGGGGAAATCAACTGCTTTGACCACTAGACACCAGTGCCATAGCCTGAAAAGGCTTATAGGGTACTGAGTGGTAGCTAGCGGCTCAGTAGGTCTCGGAGGATTGAAGGCGGTGAAACCACTGGTAGGTGGATCCAGAGCCAATGAGAGTTGGAGGTGGAGCTAATGAGAGGAAGAGCCACCCTCTGATTGGTTGTAAGTAAGACGGGCAGGCAGTGGCTGACTGAGGGCAGACTGAGATTACTGGGGCATTCCCCATTCACCCTAGTTGACCACCCTCCCCAGAATGTTGTTGCTATTTCAGGGGAAAGGTGAGATTTGGGAACAACTACGCAGTGAGCAAATGGCTGAAACTTGGCACACGGCCAGCCCAGCTGGAGGAGCACAGCTCTGAGGTAAGCACATCTCTCTGGGGCCTTGGAATTGTGGGTACAACATCCAGGTAGCACGTAGGACCAGAAAAGAACCCAGGCAGGTCTAGACTTGTGCCTTCAGCAATATCTTCCTTGGCTGAGATTAGTAGGTGAATTTTTTCATGATACAGAGAATATAGACTGCCTGTTGTGGTCTGCAGATGGTCTGCAGATGCATGGGTGCAGAAGCTGGTACAAAAGGCAGCAACCATGGCAACAAGAGTCCAGGAATACAACAACCACAAAGAAAAATAAATCCATCGGGGTGGGGGTGGGGAACAGCTCTATCCTTTGTTCCCAGAGCTTCTTTTTAAGTTTGCTGTTTTTCCCCCCAAGGGAGGCAAACTTGACATTGAAACAAAGGCAACTGGTTCTGCTCACTGGGAACACCCATTCAACGTCAAGGCTTCAGCCCCCAGAAAAGTAAATGTTGCAGTGTTGTACAACAACGTTGTGTTTAACGTTAGTCCTACTTGGAGTAGACCCAATGAAATTAATGGACATGAGTAATGTAGGCCCATTCATTTCAATGGTTCCACCCTTAGTTGGGTGCAATGCACAGTCAGTTTTACATGGACTTCAGAATTCTGAATCAGTCAATCCAATTTCTGTAATAGAGATAATTTACACCAGCCAGTGAAGTTTAGCAGAAATTGTGGGAGGTAATTAAATGTATTGAATCTTTGTTACCACTTGTGTGGGTAAATTTAAAATATTTTACTTACAGATTCAAAGGTCTGTTACCATGTTCCATGCAGCGGCAAAGGAGGACACAGGCAAAATACTGTAGGGTAGAAAATGCAGAAAGATAGTTTCATACTAAACAGAGTCATCTCCCAATAGGCCAGCCTTCGCCAACCAGGTGCCCTCCAGATGTTTTGGACTACAATTCCCAGCAAGCCAAGCCAGCATGGCAGGGCTGGCTGGGGCTGATGGGAGTTCTAGTCCCAAAACATCTAGAGAGTATCAGGTTGGCCAAGGCTATTGTAGACCATGGTTTCCAGACTCTCCACCATCAGGGTCAACCTTCATAGGAGTGCGAGAAATTTGATGTTGCTTTGAAAAAAAATATCACAGTAGACCTTCTTAGGATTTATGAGCTGCCAACAAGGGGCTCTGATAGATTCCTAGTGAAAAACTGCCTAGTACCTGATAAGTCCCCTGTGTGAAAGTTAGATGGCTGGAAGCCACCAAAGTAGGGACAATGGATGGGGTCAATGGACCTGTTATAGGCAGTAGATATAGTCCTTTTTCCTGGGAATAGAGCTGGTTGGTTTGCTCTCTCTCTGCAGGGCAGCTCTCCCAAGACAACATCGGCCGGCTCTGAGGCTACTGCAAGGGGCTGGTCCCAGCCAGGCCGCCACACTGACAGTGAGATGGATGCTAGTGTCACAGGTGGGCGGGTGCTGTCATGTTATTTCCCCTCTGCTCGCTTTTTCCTCTAGGCCACAGTACCATAATCTGAATTCACAGCAAATCCCAAATATCAGTGCTCTGTTTCAGCACTAGGGTGACATTCTCATCTGGGCAACTTTCCGTGGGTCATGTGTCAGTGGTGGGAGAAGCAGCACATTTAGTTTCTGCCTTTGTACATTAGGCTACACTCTCTCTCGCTGTCTTCATCCAAACAAGCAAGAGGAACCATCAGAGTTCCAGGATACATTCCAACCAGGCAAAATGCTCAGGGGGAGAAGCTGGACCACTGAGAAGTGGGGCTTGGGGAGAATTCCAAGGGCCAGGCAGAGAGTGGCCCCATCCTTGCTCTTGAGGAACAATCTCAGGTCCCTGAAGGCAGGCTTCCTTCATCACCGCAGACCCCAATATTGCACCAACAGGGCTTGGTTCTCCAGGTCAGCATGAGTACGAGGAAGTGAGGCTGCCCCGGCAGTATGAAGAAATGAAGCCTCTGTATGAGAGATGGTACCCCCCGGAGGAACCGTGGATTTATGAGTATGCTGTGAGTACCTGGGGAAGAGGCTTAACGGTGGGGGAAGAGTCACAATGGACTTTCCTTCTGAAACAAGTCCACAGGACTTGTCCTCTCTTGTATGTTTCATTGTGAGTCATGGATCCCCTTGTTTCCTCCACCTTCCTCATTTAAAAACAGACACCCAAAAGGAACTCAGAGAGTGTCCCATCTTAGCCCCATAGTGTATAACATACAGGAAGATAGGAAGATGCTTTGTACTGAGTTAGACCATTGGTCCATGTAGCTCAGTGTTGTCTACACTGACTGGCAGCAGTTCACCAGGGTTTCAAGCAGGAGATTCGCCCAGCCGGGGATTTTATTTGGGACCTTTCTACCAGCAACCAGATTTGCCCAATGAGGAGAGGAAGTAGCTGCTGGACTGGTAGAAAAAAGGACAACACAAACTTTTTTTTCAGATTGAAAAACAAGTTCCGGAACATAGAAAGCTGCCTTATACTGAGTCAGGCCAGTACTGCCTACTCTGACAGGCAGTGATTCATCTCAGGCAGAGGTCTCTCCCACCACCCCAGGTCCTTTTAGCTGGGATACCAGGGTGGAGCCTGGGACCTTCTGCACATAGAACGTGCCCTCTGCCTCTGAGCTATAGCCCTGCCTCCTTAGGAAGCTGCTTCAGGCAGAGTCAGACCAATGGTCCATCAGCTCAGTATGGTCAGTGCAAGGAATGGGGAGCCTGTGGCCTTCTTGAGGTTGTTGAACTACAGCTCCCATCATCCCTGATAACTGACCGTGCCAGCTGGGGCTGATGGGTGTTGCAGTCCAACAGCATCTGGAGGGTCACAAGTTCCCCATCCTTGGTCTACACTGACAGTCAGCCACTCTTGATGCTTTCAAGCAGGAGTCATGCCACATCTTGCCTGGGGATGGCTGGGATTAGAATCCTAGAACTGTAGAGCTGGAAGGGACCATGAGGGTCATCTAGTCCAACCCCCTGCAATGCAGGATTCATTTGCGGGGCTCAAACCCACAGCCCTGAGATTAAGAGCCTCACACTCTACCGACCTAGCTATCCACAGGGATATTTTACCTGCTATATTTTTCTGTTTTAGGACTGAACACACAAAGCAGATGAGATGCCCAACCACCAAGCTGTGCCCTTTCTCATGAAAGGAATGGGGGCTGGGGCTTTGGCCTTGATAGATGAGGCCAGAATCCATTTAGCCCAGCTCTTGTTTGTCAACCTGGGCCAACCAGATGCAGGACATGTAGGCAATGGCCTCCTGCTGTTTGGCCTGAGTGGCTGGTGTTCAGAGGTAGAGTGCTCCCACACATGGCGGCTCCATTTAGTTACAGCGGTGGTGAGTCACTGATACCTCTGGCCTCCACCCATTGTCTCCTGCAGTTGGGAGATGGTAGGGAACCTCAGCAGGTCTTTCTTCCCTTTTGTCTAGGGTGATTATCAGCGAAGCAGAAGATCAGCGGATGGCTATGCGGAAGTGACACAGGTCTACGACCCTGTGGCAGACTTTCTGCCCCTGGATGGGGAGCTGCCTTTTGAGCAACGAGGGGAGCTGGTCTGAGCAAAAGCTGCAGCAAGGCTGCTTCTGATCCGTCACCCAGGATTCGAATCCGTACTCAGCCATGAAGCTTTGCTGGGTGACGCCTTGGGCCAGGCATCGTCTCTCACCCCAACCTACCTCACAGGGTTGTTGTGAGGATAAAATGAGGAGGGGGAGGGAATAAAGAACCCTGCACACCCACCGTGAACTCCTTGGAGGAAAGGTTGCAATAAATAAATCTACCATAGATTTTTGAAAGTGATTTGTTTGCTCGCTATGAATTTGGGCACCTTGGAAGATACTGTAACCCAATTTGGGATGACAGCTCTGAGATCGAAGAGCAGCTTTCTATCTACGTTTGGATACAATCGGGTGCCATTTTGAATCAAGATGGTGGACTGAAAAGAGGCGCTGACTTGCGCCCAATATGGAGGGGGCCCAGCATGTGTTGTGTGTGTGTGTGACTGTTGCATTGTCTAGAGGAGGCCACTGCCCCCATACCTGGCCTGAGGAGAGAAGGTGCTGCCCCACATGTGCCTCCCTCTCCCTTGCTGTTCCTTGGCTACCTCTGCCACCTCCTCAGGGACATGCCACCTTCCTTTTCTTCCCCTTCTGGCAGCCATGAGGGGGAATGCAGGCAGCAGCAGTGCCACCTCAGCTCTACTCAGCCTCCCCACATCCCAGAGGTACATTTCAGGAGCAGAAGGCCCCACAGCCCTGACTGCTGCTCTCCAGCCTGACACAGCCCCTGCCTTGCTAGTAGCCCAAGATGCTCCCTCCACAGACCCTTAGCCTGGCTCCTGGCATTCTTCATTCATGGAGAACTGCCTCTTCCTCCCTGCGTTCGGCCTCCTCCACCCCCTCAACCTTGAGGGGACCCGGTCCCCTGCCAACAAATATTGAGGGGGCCAAAGACACCTCGGCCCCATAGAGTTGGTGCGCCTGGGACCGACCCATTCAAACCTGCCCTCAGCCACTGATCTCAAAGCTACACTGCGCTTTTTCTTTCTCCGAGTTCCTGAGAAGCAGCAGGTACACGGCTGCTAGCAAAATGAACAAATTATCTGGGGCTTGGCTGCGTGGCATGAAGTCGCTTCTGATAGCAGACCTCAACCCTTCCCTCTCTTGCGTTTCTATTCCCTCTTTTCCTTGGTCGTCGGGCTGAGTGGTCCAAGAATGCTGGCAGTGAGAGAAAAGCGGAAGCAGGCAGGCGCTGATGGGTTCACAGGTTCTGCACCGGGGCCGGAGTGTAGGCAGCGTGAGACGGAGACAGCGGAAAAGATTAAAAAGTGTGCTTCTTTATTGCCACAATTAGCTTGCTTCTGTTCCAATAACATATGGTTCATCATAAACCCTGGCATGTCCTCGCCTCCATTTAAATATTCCATTAGCACAAGCTTGGAGTGTTTATCAAGCTGAACACAGAGGAGGGCATGTGAAAGGTTGCCAGACAGAGAGAGTGGGGGGAATGGGGAGGGATAAACACAAGATTATAGGATGTTGCCTTCTACTGAGTCAGACCACTGAGTCTATCCAGCTCAGTATTGTCTGCGTTGACTGGCTGCAGTTCTGTAGGGTTTCAGGGTGAATTTTTTTCAGCCCTCCAGGGAGATGGACTCTAGGACCTTCTGCATGCAAAGCAGATGTCCTACCACTTTGGGAAGGGTTCCCTCCATAGCTGTCAAGCATCCCTTATTTGGCGGGACAGTCCCTTATCCCAGGGCGATGTCCCGCTGCTGTCCCTTATTGATGATGTCCCTTAAATAAGCTACTGAAGGTAATGGGGCCCTTTCTATGTCCAGCTGTCCTTTTTCAACAACAAATTGTTGCTGTTTTTGTGTGTTGAATATATGCTATATGGTATTTTATAGGACCTAATAGGTATCTAAAGCCATTTGCACGCAACAAAATATGTATTTTATCAAAGTAATTGTCGATCCCTTATTTTGGCTGCTGATCCCTTATTTTCGAGGCTGCTGGTCCCTTATTTTCAAATCTGTAAGTTGACAGCTATGGTTCCCTCCTAGTTAGTGAGCAGGAATAATTCTTGCAGCAGCTGAACCTGCAGCAGTATTTTGCGGCAGAAGAAGCTGCAACCACCAGAATTCTCCCTTTCTTCACAACAGTGAAGAAATCCCAGGATTGGGTGTCTGGCAATTGCAGATGGGCTGATTTACTCGTTTTGGTCCCCCCCCCCATCTGAAGTTCAGTTCTTCGCATTTCTGCATTAGTTTGCAGTTCATTCACATTTGAAGGTGGCAAATTAGGTTGGTTTGCCTTTAAATGCAAGCTGGATCTAATTTCTCCCTACCCAGCAACGGGAAAAGAAGGGCGAGTCAAACTCCTCAAAGAGCTGTGGAGAGCAGGAATTGGTGGGACAGCATGGCTTAATAAGGCAAGACCGCCAAGAAACGGGATGGGTGGGGAGGATAGGAAATGAAAGGGGAGGTGTGTTAATTTCCCCACTTTGTGGGGATACAAGCTGATGCAGTCATGGAGAGAGAGAGAGAGAGAGAGAGAGAGAGAGAGAGAGAGAGAGAGAGAGAAAGACTGCTTCCTTGGCGATGAGCCAGAGATAAGAGTGTGAGCTACACAGAGCTCTCTCAATTAAGCCAGGGACCTGGCTACAGGTTTCTGCACACAGATGCTGTGAGCGGGTGCGTCACAGGCCGGAGCCTAAATCGAGAAAAAACACGCAGTGTTTATCCCCGCATCTTAGAACACGGAAGGCCCCCACCTTGCCTGAGGGCCTCCAAACCGATTCCAAGCGTCAGAGGGGCAGCACTGAAAAAGTGTGCATATTGTCATTTGCCTCAGGTTATTGTGAGGCGTACTTAAGTCGGCTGCCAACTTCATCTCCTGAGAGGGCACCTCTAGCTTCTTAAAAGGGCAGTTCTCTACCACAACGTTGTTTCAAGGCTGGCTTAAGCGTTGCAGCTCCTGCCTCGCCGCAGGGACACCTGGGAACTGACATTTGGGTAAAGGAGCAGAGGCTCCTCTTAAAAGACCACTCAGTGGAAGTACAGTTCCAAGGGTTCCCAAGTTGTGGAGAGAGAAGGAACAACAATTAAGCCGGTTAATTTTGTAGAGAACTACCCGGAGGCGGGGGCAAGACACCTGTAGCCCTCCAGACGTTGCTGAACTTCAAGCCCCATCATCCCTGATCTCTGGCCAGGCTGGACTTCACTCATGGGAGTGGTGTTCAACAACATCTGGGTACCACAAGGTAGCCGCCCATGCCCTAAGATTTGCACAGAAGGGATAATTTCGGCAGTTGTGGCTTGGAAGATCACTCCCATGCCACAGTTGCGAGAAGCTCCAACCAGTGGAGTTTCCTTTCCCCCTTCTGTGCAATTCTTTGAATTAAAAAGTTACAGGAACTCTCTTAGGTTTTAAGATGTAGCATCAGTAAGTGGATCACACCAGAGATGGCCTAAACAGCAACTCAGTTTCACCGAAGTAATTCCTCCGGCAAAGGCCAGCCCTGTGCTACTATACGATCCAAATTTTGCCAAAAACCAATATGGTTCAATTACAACGATCCATTTCACAGAAATGATACTTGCGGCAGCTAAGAGGATAGAGAGGGGCAAACCTGGCAGCTGCCTCCCCCTCCCTTGCATGCAAGGATACCAAACAGGAGCACTTAGAACTCCAGTCGGGGAAGCAGCTGGTCGACAGAATTCACACTCAGAGCCTGAACCGTTTCCTTGCTGATGAGGGTGAGCTCAGTGGTGCTGGGTGGTTGTGGAAGAGTACCTTTGTTCCCTGCCTGCTCACTAGCCTGGGGCTGAAAGGATGCAGTGACAATTGGGGAAGGCAAAGCCCTCCACACTGCCAGCACGGCAGTGGCTCACCTGCAGTGGGAGATAATCCAGCGCCACTGGGATAGACTATTGGCTGGCATCAGCAAGGAAAGTCAGGCACACAACCCTCCCTATCCAATAAGTTAGTTAAATACAGGCAGCGCAAGGCAAAGTTTCCTTGTCACATAAGATAAAACAACATAAACAACAACGCCCCCCAAATTGACACTCCTTCACTTCCTGGGCAGCTGAAAAAGAGATGGTGTTCTGCCGAGGAGTGTAGCTTGACAGGAGTTCTTCATGGGAAAGAGGGGAGATGAGCTGGTCCGGGGCCCAAACGGCGGCTCCTAAGCAACAGGCGTAGCTGCAGAGGGAAGGAGACAACAATCATTTAAAGATGAAGGATAGCTATTCCTGCTTGGGCTCTTCCCTGTCCCGATGCAGCTAGGGATGAACGGATCTGCCCATTTCGGTTTCTCCCAGCTTCTCATCCTTCCAGTCTTCAGTTCTCCACATTTTTGCATCAGTCTACTGCTTTTTTGCTTTTTTTTTTCAACAAGTGCACTTGAAAATCCATCAGCTTCTTAGTATGCATTTTTCCTAACGCAGACATTTCTGTAGGCGATTTTTATTCAGCATACACATTTCCCCCCAAGCAATTTCCCCTAATGTCATGCATTTTTTCTCGGGGTACGTTAGTTCCTCTAAGCACACAATTTTTTAATGCCCCCTTTCGCTTAACATATGCATTTTTTTTTTGAGCAGGTGGGATAACTCCACCACAGAATTCGGAGAAGCGCAAATTTCTCAGGACAGCTGCATTTTGAGCTGCGTGTTGCAAATTTGGTAGGTCCTGATGAAAATGCAAAGTGAACTAAATTTAGCTCCCCCTGCCCACTGCCACCAACCATAGACCCGCCCCCAGCTGACCTGTTCTGTTGCTGGCCCTGGTGCCAAGAGGTGGACTGGTTGTTCGTTCTCCAGGTTCCGCGCACTGGGATCAGCCCAGTGATGCAGCAGGAGGCGCACAATCTGCTCCTGAAAGGGGTGTCCATGCAGACCAGCGGCCATGTGCAAGGCGGTGTTCCCGTGGGCCTGAGGACAGAGATTTCCCCTCCAAGTTAGCCTGCACAATATCCATTTATTACGGATTTATTAACCCAAACTTACTGAACCAGTGTGCAATAAAATAAGACAAAATGCAAAAAGACTGCAAACTCAGCGATGCTAAAAGCAGTAAAGCAGTTTCTACCATTGTGCAACTATTGTTTTTTTTCACATAAGCATCACACTTTGGGAAAGACTTCTTAAAGAAAAAAAATGTCTTCAATAGCCCCCTAATTGCTAAAAGGCTAGGTGTTTGCCAGAGTTCGGCTGATAACTGATTCCAGGCGGCTGGAGCTGCAACACTAAAATCCTGGTCTCTAGGGCACACCCAGCTCATCTCTGGAGCATGTGGGTACTCTCAGCAGTACCCCATCTAGGGAGTACAATTGCTGGACATGGATGTGTGGGTCAAGGCCATAGCTGTCAACTTTTCCCTTTTATTGCGAGGAATCCTATTCGGATTAAGGGAATTTCCCTTAAAAAAAGGGAAACGTTGACAGCTTATGGTCAAGGCAGTTCCTCAGGTCCATTGCAACTCTTTCCAAAGTTCCAGAAAATGCTGACGGACATGTCAGAGAATTCTGACGAAGAAAGAAATGGAATCAGAAATTGCCGATGTTCATTTCTTCATCCCATGGCCAGAAGGGAACTCAGTCCAGTGAATACAACGGGCATTTGCTGTTTCCTGTTGCTTTCAGTCCACAAATGACATGTAATTGATTACATTAACACCCCCATCACTTGAATTGTGTTTACTTTGTGTCCTGCAGTGCCATGCTTTGGTTTCCGAACATTTTGGAAGTCGAATAGACTTCCGGAACAGATTCCATTCGACTTCCAAGGTACGACTGTACAGGGCAGAACAGAAAACGATGGCTTCTTACATCCCTGAGGAACAGGACACCTCAGCAGCACATTTATTTAACATGCCATTTCTCCCTCTGCCCTTTTAGCTGAGCCTCTGTGCTACTCAGGATCAGTCCTGGGGAAGCTGGAGCAGCCTTTGGGCCACGGCAGCTGCGAATCACCTCCCCAATATTCCTCTTCGCTTTTCAGGGGAAGCATCCATTGGCATCAATGGCATGGAATTGTAGAGTTGAAAGGGACCACCAGAGTCATCTAGTCTAACCCTCTGCAATGCAGGAATCTTTTTGCCCAATGTGGGGTTCAAATCCATCACCCTGAGATTAAGAGTCGCACGCCAACCCTCGCAATGCAAAGAGCAGCGTTGGAGAGATCATCATGGGAGAGAGGCAGGAACAAAAAATATAACTTTCCCTCTCCCTTTCCTAAGGTCCCAAAGCTGCAACTAACATAGACAAAAACCTGCATGTCAGCTGCTACGGCCCAAATGAACCCACGTGACATGTGATTCTCAGAGCTGGGCCCTCTGCTGCAAGGTGCTGAGCAGGCTTGATCTGCTCTCCGAGGGCCACCAGTTCTACCCACCCGTCTGCCTTTCATGATACAAAACAGCAACAACACCATAATGGAAAAACTCCTTTCTATCCCCAACCTTGGGCAACAGCGCCCCCTAGCAGAGAAAACCCAGAAGCACACCTTCATATTGACAAAGTTCTGGAGTTCTCCTTCAGGCAGCTGGAGTAGGAACTGGATCAAAGGCAGGTTTGCAGCTTGGACGGCCAAATGCAGAATGGTTTTGCTGCTCTTCAGTTCCTAGAAAAGGGAGGAAACTGTCAGGAGGCCAGATGCAATCTCCAGGATGGGCTGGCCAAGCTTTCTTGGCTAATCACAAAAGAGAGTCTTATCTTTGAACCGTTCTGGGTGGGAGAACATCTGCTTTGCATGCAGACGATCCCAGGTTCAATCCCTGGCACCTCCAGGTAGGACTGGGGGAGAAATTCTAGAGAGCAGCTGCCTGCCAGTGTAGACAATATTGAGTTAGATAAACAAACAGTCTGACTCAGGGTAAGGCACTTTGCCAGTCCTGTTTAGAAGAAGAAGAAGAAGAAGAAGAAGAAGAGGAGGAGTTTGGATTTGATATCCCGCCTTTCACTCCCTTTAAGGAGTCTCAAAGTGGCTAACATTCTCCTTTCCCTTCCTCCCCCACAACAAACACTCTGTGAGGTGAGTGGGGCTGAGAGACTTCAAAGAAGTGTGACTGGCCCAAGGTCACCCAGCAGCTGCATGTGGAGGAGCGGGGAATCGAACCCGGTTCACCAGATTACGAGTCCACCGCTCTTAACCACTACACCACACCACACTGGCTCTCAGTGCTTCCATACTGTTAGTATGCCACGATGTCAGTGGGAGAGCTTCAAGTGTACACGAGAAATCTAGCCAAATTCTGCAAATGCTTTGCTATGTCTCCTTCTTTTGCCCTCTTTTTAGTTGATGCAGAAGTGGCCACCTTGGTCTCCTGGCCTGGAGAGAAGGAACCCCTCCTCAGAGCCCACCCACCCACCTACCTGGCTCTTGTAGTTGGCCCCGAGTTCGAGGAGCAAGCGAATACAGAGCAGGAAGTTCTGGAGCTGCTGCTGAGACAACGGATCCATGCTTTGGGACTGGAAGGCGGCATTGTGAGCTATGACAGCACAATGCAAGGGGGTCAGACCTACAGTGCAGAAAGGGATGTCAAAGACTCCACACATTAGCAGTGTGCAAAATAATATGCATTCTCAACTTGAAAATGTTTCTGGAAATACACAGCAATCTCCGATCATCTTACCTTCGAAATTTCTGGCATCGACATTGACTGGGACACCAGTCACCATGACGGCCTGGGAAAGAATCCAGAAGAGATCGTCATTCTGACATGTGCTTAGAACAGATTAAATCCCAACCTAACGAAAGCTCAGCAAGTAGATGTTGGCCATGGAACGAGTGGCTCTAATGCCTAGCCGCTTCAACAGTATTTGTTGGAAAAGCAGAGGAAAAGGGCAGGAGGAAGACTATAAATATATACAGTGGTACCTCGGGTTAAGAACTTAATTCATTCCGGAGGTCCATTCTTAACCTGAAACTGTTCTTAACCTGAAGCACCACTTTAGCTAATGGGGCCTCCCGCTGCCGCCATGCCACCGCCACTCAATTTCTGTTCTCATCCTGAAGCAAAGTTCTTAACCTGAGGTACTATTTCTGGGATAGCGGAGTCTGTAACCTGAAGCGTATGTAACCTGAAGCATATGTACCACTGTAGACCTTTTCCCTGCTGTAGTGACTATTGCATCACAGCCTGTTTCATTGTGTTTTAAAGGCGTTGTAAGCTGCCTCAAGAACATCAGTTGGTAGGCAGGCTATAAATACTCCAAAACAAATAAATAGTATTTTATCAGATACCCATTGTCCATGCATGGAGATCCACCCATTGTCCATGCATGGAGATCAAGGGAAAGCATTGGCCTGCTGTATGTGCTATCGTGCTGCTAACATTTGCAGGAGTATAAAAAGGAACAAATGACAGAAATGCTGCTGCAATTTGAACTCTGCAATGAGGCACCGTGAGGCCCAGCTCCCGCCAACCCCAACTGTTGGCCCCGCTTGCTCATGGGAGTTGGAGTTGGTGGTGGCTGAGTGCTATAGTGGAGAGCCAGTGTGGTGTAGTGGTTAAGAGCGGTAGACTCGTAATCTGGTGAACCGGATTCGCTTCCCCGCTCCTCCACAGGAAGCTGCTGGGTGACCTTGGGCCAGTCACACTTCTGTGAAGTCTCTCAGCCCCACTCACCTCACAGAGTGTTTGTTGTGGGGGAGGAAGGGAAAGGAGAATGTTAGCCGCTTTGAGACTCCTTCGGGTAGTGATAAAGCAGGATGTCAAATCCAAACTCTTCTTCTTCTGAAGGAATGGCCCGGCTGCTGCCCTTGAGCTTTTGCCACCTGAGGCAATTGCCTCACTTTGCCTGATGATAGGGCTGGCGTTGCTAGCAGCGATGGGACCATAGACAGCTGCCTTGTACTGAATCAGGCCATTAATATTGCCTGCAGTGACTGCCAGAGGCTCTCCAAGATTCCAGGCAGGGAATATTTCCCACAGGTGCATAGCTAGCTGCTCCAGCACCTGGAGCAGCGGGGACGGGGTGATCCGCACACAGGGGTGGGATGGCAAGCTGCCCACAGAGTCCTCCTGGTGGACGCAAGGCCCATGCTGCTGTTTCGGGCAGCACGGGGCGCCGAGCCACTGTGTCACTCCCAGGAGAGACGTGTGGCTCGGACGTGCTGCAGGCCATGCCCCGTGGTAAGTGCCGCCCCCATGGTGTGCTATTTTGTCACCCCCCTCAAGGATGACACCCGGGGCGGACCGCATCTCCCGCGCCCCACTTTCTACACCCTGATTTCCCAGCCCTACGGGGAGATGCCTGGGATTGAACCAGAGACCTTCTGCATGCAAGGCAGGTGCCCTACCACTGAGCTATGCCTTTCCCCTGTGGCGCTCCAGGTATTGTTGGGTAGCGACTCCCATCATTCTTAAATGTTGGCCATGCAATAGGGACACTCACCTCAATGACACTGGGCAGCCCATAGGTGGCGCCAAGGTGCAGCACAGTCTGCCCCTTCTGGTCTGCAGCGTTGACATCCGCTCCCAGCACGATCAGGTCCTTCACGATCCCAGGCTGATTTGCTGCAGCCGCCACTAGCAGCGGAGTCTGGGCACACAGAGAGGAATAGCAGTGAGTGGCTGTGGCTGGGAGTGGCAGAGCTCAGCTTTGCCAGGCGCCTGGTTCTAGGCAGCTATCTAGGGCAGCAGTTGATAGGCGACAGGCAGCAGTTGACAGAAGGGAACATTCGCTACCTCAATGCAAATACACCAGGCATGCAAAGCCTGTTTCAACCTGAGGTCTGCATTTCCTTTTGGGCAACCTTCTGAGGGCCACATGCCAATGGTGGGAGGGGCCATAGGCAAAAGTGGGTGGAGCAATGAATGCAAATATCACCTTTGTAGCATAGGCTAAGTTTCTGCACACCCATCACCCATCCCAACAAGCAAGAGGCATTAGTGGACTGCAAGGTGTTACAGGGGAGCTGGACAGGAGGCACATTTAGTGAAGAGCAGAGAGATAATCATCATCATCATTATTTATTTATTTATTTATTTATACATACATACCCCGCCCATCTGGCTGGGTTTCCCCAGCCACTCTGGGCGGCTCCCAGCAGAATATTAAAAACACGATAAAACATCAAACATTAAAAACTTCCCTAAACAGGGCTGCCTTCAGATGTCTTGGCTTCTCACAGGGAGGGACACTGAGGTCCAGCACCGAGGGCCTTCTGGCCGTTCCCTCACTGCAAGAAGTGAAGCCACAGGGAACCTGGCAGAGGGCCTTCTCAGTAGTGGTGCCTGCCCTGTGGAATGCCCTCCCATCAGATATCAAGAAAATAAACTACTCTCTGACTTTTAAAAGACTTTTAGAAACTTCCCTAAACAGGCCTGCCTTCAGATGTCTTCTAAATGTGAGATAGTTGTTTCTTTCTTTGACATTTATTTACTTTTTATCCCTTTATTTTATAAATTGCCTGATGGGTTTTAAAATAGCTGTCACAGCGGGATGCAATATGGAATAACAGAGAATATAAATTGAATTTCTAAACATGTATGAGCAATAAATGAAGTACATATACTGTTAGAATGGCAGAGTAAGTGCATTTGAAAACACACACAAGAAAAGAAATCAGAATAATCAGTGAAAGTCACAACAAATAGGTTGCCTGGATACCTGTAGGAAAGAATAGAGTGATATTCATCTAAGATACTCATAGCAGACCCTCTGAAATGAATGGATATAACTCCATGGACTGGCGTTTGATTGACCTTGGATATATTCCATAGCAAATGCATAGCTTATGAAATAAATTCTAAATGCTATAGGGCTGTCGCCAATGCTAGTCCTACTTAGAGTAGACCCATTCAAATTAATGCGTTAAGCCTATCTTTAGAACCATTAATTTCAGATGAGTATGCTGGATTCAGATGATAAGCAAGGGGATTATGACTAAACATTAGGAAGAACTTTCTGATGGTAAGAGCTGTTTGACAGTGGGGCGGTCTCCCTCGGGAGGTGATGGACTCTCCTTCCTTGGGGGTTTTAAGACAGAAGTTGGGTGGCCATATGTCAGGGATTCTTCAGCTGTTTTTCCTGTATTGCAGGGGGTTGGACTAGATACCTCTCTGGGTCCCTCCCAACCCTACTGTTATGTACTAAGCTTGGATCCTAGAACAATAGGTTGGTAGGATCCTAGAATGCAACAACTGATTGGCTTGCAGGAAAAGACCAATCAGGCTCCAGGAAGAAGTTAATCAGCCTATTAGGCTGGTAGGATCGTAGAATGCAACAACTGATTGGCCTGCAGGAGAAGACCAATCAGGCTCCAGGAGGGAAGCAGAATCAGCCAGTCAGACGGGACTCATTGTGTAAATAATGTACAGTCATACCTCAGGTTACAGACGCTTCGGGTTGTGCGATTTCGGGTTGTGCACTGCGCCGAACCCGGAAGTACCGGAATGGGTTACTTCTGAGTTTCGGCACTTGCGCATGTGCAGAAGTGCTAAATCGCGATTTGCGCATGCACAGAAGTGCCGAATCGCAAACCGCGTGTGCGCAGATGCAGCGCTGTGGGTTGCGAACGTGCTCCCCGCATGGATCACGTTCGCAACCCGAGCACCCACTGTATATAAAAGCCTAAGGTTTTGGGGAAAATCCAATCACCGTTTTACAAGCTGCAATAAAGTGCATGAAATCACTGCAGGACTCCGAGTATATTTCACCTACAATTCTATGATTCTATGCATAGGACTTAGTTGGAAACAGCCCTATGAGACAGCTGGAGAAAGATATTCATGTGTCTCCTCCATGCAAGGAGAATTAAGCCCAGGCCTCATCCTCACCTTCCCCCTGTGCTCTTTGACATCAAGCTGGCCACACTCCCGGAATACCTCAGCAGTAGCATATGCCAATGGCCGGTGTCCTTTGGCCACATATAGATGCAGAAACCTGAAGAGGAGAGGGGCACGGAATAGTTTAAGAACTTGGCGATCGGCAGACAAGACTCTTCTCCCCTGGCAATGCCGTGAGAGAACCGCCTGACATAGTGGCTAGAGTCTTGGACTAGGACTAAGGAGACCCTGGTTCTGATCCCTGCTCAGCCATTGATTTCACACGGGCCAATGGTTCTCCCTCTTTTTCAGAATTAGCCTGCCTCGCAGGGAGGTTGGGAGGATAAAAGCTGGGAACAGAACCACGTGTAGAAAGGGGGCATCTAAATCAAATAAATGTAATAAACACACAATATAACTATAATTGTATAAGAACCAAATTTTGAAACAATGACTATGAACAGAAATAAGAGTACATTTTACCATAGTGGGGAAGACTGTGCTCAGGCATACCTGCTCAGAGTCACTAAGTTGTTCATGGGCAATTTCCCTACTCTCCCTTCTTAGGGTTCTTCATCTGTATTTGTCCAACTGGGGTCATAGCCGCATGTGCTCATACATTTAGAGCACATGCCTTCCCCCAAAGAATCATGGGAACTGTAGTCTACAGCTGCATTTCCCGGTACCCATATCAAATGACAACTCCCATGATTCTTTGGGGGAAAACAATTTTTTTTAATGAATGTGACCCTGGGCCAGACAGAGGACTATCTGCTAGAAAATAGGACACACAGCCACCTTACTTCAAAGGGGACAAAGTGAGCACCCGAATGGGATGGTATTCAAAGCGATTTCCTGGGAGGAGGGAGAATCGGTGCTCTCACCACCGGCAACAGACTTACGTGTCTCCATCCTCATCTTGATGTAGCAGAAGAGGCAGTTCTGTGTTCCGGATCTCCGCCCGAGCTTGGGCCAGTTCCCCTGGATCCACCTCCAGGGATGAGGCGGGGAAATTCTCCTCAGGAAGGAGGCAGGGGTTGTTCAGTTCTTGCTGCAGGCAGACACCCCCAGGAGCGGGGAAGAGGTCCAAAGGCCCGGTTTCAGAGACCGCCGTCTGTGTGGAAGAGACCATGGTAAAGAAGCATTGCAATATTACCAAATTTCCCCCCAGATATACGTCAGGGTTGCCAATGTGGGCACATATATGTTCACAGAGGCATTTCCAGGGTCCCCTCCTCCCACCAAAATTAGGCTTGGGAACAGCTTCTGTCTCTGAACCTCCCTGGGGCAAGCATTCCACAAATGGGGAATGGAGATACATTCCCAAGGATTTCCTTGGAACAGGAAAACTGCTGTTTAAAAAACAGATTAAGATGATAGCATGAGCCCCTTCCTTGTCTCCAGTTTGTTTTTTTGTTTTACCCCAATAATTTTTATTAATTTTTTCCAAATACCTTAAACACAATACAGCTTAACAATATTATTCTCCTTTCAATCTATATCTTATCTGAATTAACTTCCCTCCACCCCTCTTCTGGCTTCTTTACATTGCTCTTACTTAAGCGTGATTACTATATATACATTCTATAATTGTCTATAATTCCTTAATAAATTTTTGTATTATACTTCAAACATACAGTGTTACCTCGGGTTACATACTCTTCAAGTTACATACGCTTCAGGTTACAGACTCAGCTAACCCAGAAATAGTGCTCCAGGTTAAGAACTTTGCTTCAGGATGAGAACAGAAATCGTGCTCCGGCGGCACGGCGGCAGCAGGAGGCCCCATTAGCTAAAGTGGTGCTTCAGGTTAAGAACAGTTTCAGATTAAGAACGGACCTCTGGAACGAATTAAGTACTTAACCTGAGGTACCACTGTACATTCCTTATTATATTACAGCATTACATATTGTGGTCTCACCAAATGTTTACAATAAATGTTATGAGTTTTATTTCAGTCCTGTGAGCGTCTTTATTTATGTACTGTCTCCAGTTTGAGCCACTCCTCACCCACCCACATCCCATAATTCCACATTCACCTCATAATCCACCGCTGACGCCATCTTGGAACCGTACACTGCCTCGGTGGTACTAGGTCCTGCAGGCCCATAAACACTGGCTTCCAAAGAAGTAAAGGGGTTGATGATGCCATACTGGGGCCCTGGAGGTGGAAGGAGGTAGTTCTTGGTGGGGTCCACTGGCTGGTAGTGGCAGTCGGCAGGGAAGGCCGCTTGGCTTGAGGTGTCTGGCTGCCAGGTGGGAAAGGCCGCAACCGGGTACTCGGGAGCGGCGGTCTGTCCTGGAGTAGGTCCTCTTCCCTCGGCTGCTCTGGGGGGCTCTAGAAAGAGGGACTCAGATGAGCAAAGAATACAGAAGCAGAAGAAAAGCCCTGCTGGATCAAGCCAGTGGTCTCTCTAGTCCAGCATCCTGTTCTTACTGGGGCCAACCAGATGCCCATGGGAAGCCCGAAAGCAGGACCCGAGCTCAAGAACAACTCTCCCTTCCTGTGGTTTCCAGCAACTGGGACGCAGAAGCATATTGCCTCCCCCCAGTGCAGACAGAACGTTAGTAGCCATTTCAGGCGCACCGACTCTATGGGGGAAGAAAAACATCCCCGTGTGTCCATATCCACTCACCTGTTCGGCTGGCTTCAAAAACTCCTGGGGGTACCTGCAGAGGAAGAGTAAAAAAAGAGGATCAGTAATGAGCCTGGTAAAGGTAATAAAGCAGTTGTGTCTGGACCAGTGTGGTGTAGTGGTTAAGAGAGGTGGTCTCGTAATCTGGTGAACCGGGTTCAATTCCCCGCTCCTCCACATGCAGCTGCTGGGTGACCTTGGGCTAGTCGCACTTCTTGAAGTCTCTCAGCCTCACTCACCTCACAGAGTGTTTGTTGTGGGAGAGGAAGGGAAAGGAGCTGCTTTGAGGCTCCTTAGGGTAGTGATAAAACAGGATATCAAATCCAAATCCAAACATGCTATGGTCGCCACCCTAGACTAGGCTGCCCCTTAATCTGACCCCAAATGTTCATTTGCATGGTCCCCAATTCATAACGTAGGAAGAAGCCACCTTCTGCTGAGTCAGAACAATGGTCCATCTACCCTCATGGACGATGGACCAATGTTCTGACTCAGCAGAAGGTAACTTCTTCCTATGTTATGAATTGGGGATCACGTGAATGAACATTTGGGGTACGTTTTACCCTACGTGTTGGACCTGTAAAAGTGTTGGGAAAAAATGTTTAAAAGTACTTTTCAAAAACAAACAGACCAGAGTCCTTTTTGTTGGGGATAATTCAGATGGAAATTCCCAGATGTCAAAAAAGGTTATTTATGTACGCCACTACTGTGGCCCGTGTTTTGTTAGCCCCCATATGGAAAATGAGCGAAGTCCCAGCTAAAGAAAAATGGCAACTTAAACTGATAGAACATATAGAATAAGAGAACAAGAAGAACATACGTTTAAAGAAGATTGGAAAATGTTTATTGAATATATGGGGGGAAATTGTGTATGTTTGAAAACGTGGGCAGCATTCAACAGTGTAAATAAGTTTTGGTGGATGTAATAATGGAATACTGAATGGTTTAGTTTATATAAAATATGGAGGGATTTATGCTATGCAAAATGAACCATGGAAAGAGAAGAGGGAAAGCCATTGATATTTTAAGGTTGTTTAAATGAATATTCTAAAATGTAAAACAGAAAATTTAATAAAAATTATTGGGGGGGAAAGAACATTGGTCCATCTGCCTCTCCACTGACTGGCAGTTGCTCTCCAGGGTTTCAGGCAGGATCTTTCCCCAGCCTGACCTGGAAATGCTGGGGATTTTATTTGGGATTGAACCCTGGGCCTTCTGCATGCAAGACAGATGCTCTAACACAAGGCTACAGCCCTCGTCTCAAAGAATGCAAAGCAGGTGCAGCTAGCCTAGGTGATGGACCCTAACTTAGAAGGCTGAGACAAATTCATTGGATGAGAAGGCTGTCAATAGGTACCAGTCATGATGGCCGCATGGAACCTCTTGTTAGAATTCCTGCTCCGTGGTTGCAGTCATGGGATTGTTGTCTATCACATGACGGTGTATGTTTTGACTCCACAAAGTGGGAAGTGACTGAGACTGGATGTTTGTGTTACTGTGTTCTGTGAAGTGGGACTATTGTCCTTTGTCTTTTTCTCTTTGCAGTCTGATGCTAGAGAGAGAGGGAGCCATGTTGCAGTGCTCCATGTGTGTTTATATGCAAATAAAGTAGATTAGCCAAAATGCAGAGTTGCTGAGGTCTGTCACACGAACCGCGAAGACTCTGTGGATCCCTAAGGGTGCTGATGTCTGTTGGCATCGGTCACTGTGATGTTCGGGCTGAAGAAAGCTTTTGAAGCTCCCGAACTATTGACCAGGAGGGAGAGGGAATGCCAGTTGGGCATATGTCTCTGTCAGGGTCCTACTTGAGTGTAGGACAAGCTCCTGACACCTCTATGCTCAGAAGCAACAGCCACTGAATGCTTGCTGTGGGGAGCAATAGCAGCAGGAGAGGGCTGCTGCCTTGCTGTCCTGCTTGGGAGTTTCCTGGAGACATCTAGCTGGAAGGGGCTGCTGGAAGCAAGGAACAATCGCAACTGGTTTCAGCGGATGACTCACCTGGGGTCCAGTACTGTGGCCAAGGACCATCTGCTGTTGCCGTTTTTGTTCCAGTAATTCCCGCACAGTCTGGGGTGCTAAACTGTTGCGTGGAACTTTGCAACCTGAAAGCAGAGAGAGCAAATGGGGTTGTCAGGATTGAGAGGAGGATAGCTCTAGCCTGGGATCAGATCATTTCCTAAAAGCATGCAAGCATCCCACCTTCAGAGTGTCTATTTCAGGGGTAGGCAAACTAAAGCCCGGGGGCCGGATGCAGCCCAATCGCCTTCTCAATCCGGCCTGCGGACAGTCCGGGAATCAGTGTGTTTTTACATGAGTAGAATGTGTCCTTTTATTTAAAATGCATCTCTGGGTTATTTGTGGGACATAGGAATTTGTTCATTCCCCCCCCCAAAAAAAAAATATAGTCCAGCCCACCACATGGTCTGAGGCATGGAAAAAGGTTGCTGACCCCTGGTCTATTTCATCAGTGGAGAAGCTACAGCCTAGTTAGCCCCACCAGACCTGACCATTTGCCCCATGGGGCCATTTTTGCCAAGCCATACTGACGTACCCCACTAGGGCATGTTGAAATTTCAAAAAATGAAGGGTGCTAAAACATTGTAACATGACTTGGGAATTCAAAATATATTTTGGTTAAATTAATATAATTTAGTTTTGCTTGGTAGGTAAAAGGTGTGTAAAATTGCATAGAAATCATTAAAAATGATTTGCCAAGTTAGATTACATTCCCATTATTCTTATTGTTAAGGATTAGCTGACATTTTCAGAAAACAAAATTGAAATTCTTTGCTTTCCCGAAAGCCTCATGTGCTTCTTTGTCAGACGTAGACTTTCAAACTAAATGTTGTCCAGTCACAAAAAAGAATAACAGCTCTGAATTTCTGACACCCCAAAACTTATTTGTAAGTCCCGTTACTGAAGAAATTTGAAAAAATTAAGTTTCAGCAACTAAAATGGCACTCCCTACTGTACCACTCTTGGTATAACATATGATATCAGTCAGGTGTAGGGGAGGTAAAGCTGCAAATTCCTACTGAAAGTGGGGTTTGAAGGCCCTGCCAATCACCTGAATGTTGGCTCTTTCAAAGCCCTGTGCATTTGCCAGGCAGAGGATGTCAGGTGATGGACAGGTAAGTGACCACACCTGTCAAAGTTGGCCTGACTGGGAATGAGGAAGCTAAGAATCTGATCTACTAATCCAATCCATTTTCCCATCCCTGGTCTACTTGACAACAGAGCCACAGAAAAGCTTCCCTGCTTGCAGAAAGCTAACCTGTCAAGAAAAGGATAATGCAACAACTTCCCTGCACAAAGTCTATAAGGAAAGTTAAATGTTAAAGTACACCAGAATTGTTTATAGTCTGCACCTAGTAAAACTGCACCCAGCTAGCACAAACCTTGCACTGAGAAAAGCTGGTATCTGTACTTCTTGCAGAAAAGATGGTGAACATTTTCAGACCAGCACATCTTGAGTTATTTTGTCACTTTCTGCTTCCACTGCATATTGCAGGGCAAGGTAGCTCTACCCTGCAACTAACAGAAATCCTATTTTGGGCTTAGTGCTAATTACTGCATTTTCACATTGCAACTGCAGAATTCTCACACTGCTCTGATTCCACTATTTCAGCATGTCAGGGGCAGAGATGTGTGAATAATATGTCAATGCCTGTTTCTCTCCATTTCTCACTTTTCCAATCTAAAGTTCACTTTTCCACATTTCTACATTGGCCTGCATTTTTTTTTAAAAAAAGCTCATGAAAATTCATCAGCTTTTCAGTGTGAATTTTTCAGTGTGAATTTTTCCAACAAACAAAATTTCAGTATCTAATTTTGCCTACTACACACATTTCTTGCAAGCCAGTTTCCCTTAATATAATATATTTGCATATGTTATTTCACCAATTTATGCATTTTTACATGCACTTTACCGCAGTATATGCTTTTTGTACATACCGTATTTTTCCATGTATAAGACAATGTTCTTTGCTAAAAAAATAGTCAAAAATTAGGGGTTCGGGCTCTGGTGCAGGTGGCCTGAGCTTGGGTTCGGGTTCAGGCTTTGGCCAAATTTCTTAATTTTGGGCTCCAAAAAATAGGGCTCGTCTTATACATGGGGGCGTCTTATACACGGAAAAATATGCCTATTACTTGGCTGGAGAACAGCATTGCAAAATTCAGAGATTTTGAAAGACAGCAGTGCTTCAATTTGCATATTGCTTCAGGAAGTGTGAATTAGGCAGGTTCTCCTTTAAATGTGAATTGAATCAAATTTCTCCCCCTTCCCTAGTCAGAGGTTGGGAACCTGTGGCCCTCCAGATGGTATAAGACTACAACTCCCACAATCCTTTGCTCACAGGGGAAGCTATGACTTTTTGAAGTGGTAGCCTAGTGCTTTGAATACATGGTGGGAAAGTGGTCTTGAGACTGGTCTGGCTTCCTCATCCATTCTGTAGGAAATTGTAGCTCTGTGAGGGGAATAGGGTTTTTCCAGTACTCTTAATGAACTACAGCTCCCAGAATCCTTTGGGGGAAGTCATGATTTATTTGTAGGATTAGACAATGGTGGCTGTCCAATGTGCATTCATTTTGATTTGTTTGCGGGGAGGTTAGATGACATTGCATCAACGAAAGTGTTATCTCACACTTCCCAGGGTATTCCCCCATCACTTTCCCTTCTTTTTATATATATAAAAAACCCTGATCTTTTGGGGAAGCAGTTTTCTTGCACAATTCAACTACAATTGCACAACCTGAAATTGCTAATACATGCTTGAATCCCATTCAAGAATAGCAACAGTCCAGAAGTGCCCTTGAAATATATGCTTTATTCATCAACGTAAAGAAGCAGAGTACGTCAAAGCAAAAGTAGACGTTCCTATGAAGCACATCCTTCAAAGACTGTTCATTTCAGCTTTCCAGAAATTTTTGAATGTGGTGTCTCTGTCTGTCTGTCTGTCTGTCACCTATACACATGGACATTGTCCTTACCAACCTGCCAGCTCCCCTATCTTACATGCATAGCTGCCTCATCAGTGGGGCACCATCTCCTCCAAACTCTGGTTTCTCATTCAAAAATGGAGAGAGGTTTCTAGCTACCAGGAGACCATGTCATACAGCCCATTGAAAAAATAGCAGCAAACCATTCTGGGCTGTTACCAGCAATCTAACAAAGGAACAGCGGATCTGCAGTGCCAGTAACAATATATTCCAGACCCAAGCCTTGACAGCAAATTAATCTTTCCTCCAGGCAACCTGTATATTCAACATTCACCCTCATTTCGCTAGCACAAAACTTGCAGCGCGGCTAGAATGCTGGGTCTTTTTTGAGCATTTGCTCTGACTTGTTTATGGGATGGACAACGAGTATTTATCCTGCATTCATCTTGATTTGTTTCTGGGGTCTTCACACGTCTTCCTGTTACTCATTACTTCACCTCACGCTTTTCAGTGCATGTTCTCTTCCCTTCCCAACGTGCAAAATATATGTTGTTGTTTTTTAAAAAACAGATTAACGCACTAGGACATTTGTAATTACAACTCCCCACCCAATGCACCAATGGACCACTTGATAATAGCTGAGGGTCTTAGTGGACCATTTCTGCCCATTGTAGCAATTTCAGAGTGCTGTGTGATTCTTAATTGGATTCCTATTGTTTCTTTTCTTTTGTATGTACTGTATTTTACTGCATTACAATCTGAATTCCGCTGAATTCAAAATACAACGCTGTAAAATGCAACATAGGGAACGGTGAAGCAATTAAAAACTATAGAGCGATAAGAAAGCAATAAAAAGGCAATTAAGGATCAATATAAGAAATAAAAGAAGCCATAAAAATACAGTTAAAAATCAAGGCAGATCTTTAATGGGGAAACGTGAATGAAGTCCGCAGACCCCAGTTTGAGAAGCCCTGTGCTCGGGCGACAGAGCGATTTGATCCAATTTTTTATTACAGAGACCTAAAGTTCCAGTACATGCTCGGGTTCCTCCTGCAAAATAGTGACAGTCTCAGAAGGCCCCTCTTAAATTCCTGAGTGCTCCTGTGACATGATTCAGAGTTTGCCCTGCCTGCTACTGGGGCAAGGCTGCTGGCAGAAAATAACAGCTCTGTGGTGCTCATGAATCCTGCTTTGACCCAACCTCGGCCTTTCATCTCCGTCACTTGTGGTTTCCCTTCTCGACGCACAAGGGATATTTTCCAGAGCAGGTGATGCTCAAACGCAGATATTGTGGCCATCCCCCACCTCCCCAATCCCTTGTTAAAAGCCTTCTGAGAGCAATGTGAGGAGGAGGGGAACAGCAGGCAGCATGCCAGCTCAAAGGCATGTGCTGTGGTTGTTGTCCTGGCTGCCTGTGTAAAAAACGAGGCAACTTGCAGCACCGTCGCTTCCGTTGACGGAAGGCATGACACTGTGAAGGAAATGATGTGAAAGAAAAACTCAGCCAGCAAGGGCTGCTGGTCAGAGATCTATTCCTCCACTCGACTACATTTCCTTTCTGGATCCTGTGACATGAACCTGCAAGGTTCAGGGTGAGTCCCCTGGTGCAGATGAAAGTGTGTAAGTCAAAGGAGTGCTCTCTTCCTGTTGCTGGACTCCAGCCCCCACCAGCCTCAGCCAGCAATACCCATGGCCAAGGACGATGGGAATTGTAGACTACAGGGTGGTGTAGTGGTTGGAGCATTAGATTAGAGATAACACTTAATGCTGAGCAGAGGAAACAGACTGCCTCTGTAATTTTATTAGAGAGAGAGAGTACAGAGGAGAACAGTGCAAGGCAGGCATTGGGAAATTTGAATCAGGGGCGCAGGCAGTGTTTCGGTACTTCAAATCCCTGTGGGCGGAAGAAGTTACTGTTCTGATCTTTCCCGTGCTGCAGCGCCACCCTTGTAATGGTCAGAGCAAGTACTACAGATCCAGGATTCCGTCCCTAATCTGAACAGTATGTCTTGCCCATGTCCAATTTGGATTCTCTCTGTTTCTCAGTTTTCCAACCTAAAGTTCATTTCTCCACATTTCCACATCAGTTTGTGTGATTCTTTTTTTTTAAGGGTTCAGGAAAATTCATCAGTATTTTAGTGCAAATTTCCTCTAATATGCACGT